CCTGTAGGCAATGGCTAAGGCCCCACATGCAGCTACCACCTGCTTCTCCATGGATCCATCACAACACCTCTCCCTCACAGCTTTCATTATTTTTATAGGGTTCAGGAGTTGTTCAAGGGTAAGCTTCCATGTCATGGGAGCTGAGCAACTTTCTAGGAATTTACCCATGTCCTCCCATAACCCACGCCATTCGAGGTTTTCCACCCCTGGGTCAGGCTCCTAAACGCCTTCTCGGTAACTCTTGGCCTTGGCTTGGTATATCAGGTATGCTATAGTGGCACAATTTAGGATGAAAAGCCCAACCATTGAAATGTCTCGGATATCTAAAAATGATTTAAACTTCCCAGAGACCACTGTATTGTATCCAAAAGGGAACTGAATAAAGGGTTGGGCGCGTGCATTCCCCTGTGTGTCCCCATAAGAATGGGTACTATTATCCTCAAAACCCCAGAGAAAACAGCTTAGGCTAGAGCAGTAGCGCATCCTTGAGGATATGTTCCGGATGAAAACCACAGGTGCTGAGTTTGCCGTGTCATATATCAAATGCACAATCTCGAAGGTACTTATTGCAATGTAAGTACTAGTATCCGAACTGAAACACGTTGACAGGTGGGACAGGTATCTTGGCATGGTTATATGCCAGAGGAAAGCAACAACCCCTAACATCATGGTGCCTACAAGTTCAAAAAACGCGTGTCAATCACACGAGCGCGTAACTCACACAAAGGGTAGTTATTCTTTTTCCACCTTTCCTCTTTCCAGGCCCCACGTTGGGCGCCAAAAATGTCTCAGTTTGAAAAGACTGGACTGCTTGCTAAAGAGGATGAGTTGTGAGGTAGACCAAACTCCTCTCTCTCTGCAATTGTAATGTCAATTTAAGGGGCTTTACTCGAGGAAAATGTGGAAAAAAAAAACCAGGAGAAATAACAACCCTTTATTAAGAAATATATAAATGTTGGTACAAAAGAGAAAGAAAAAAAGAAAAAAAAAAGAAGAAAAAAAAAAAGTAACACAAAACACAACAACACCAGCAACAACAACCACAACAACAAGTCTAAAAGAATACTCCTCTGTCCTTTAACACGGTCCTAATTGCGGTCTGCAGGGGGCGCTGTCGGGCCGCTGAAGCTGTAGGACCTGCAGTACCTGGTCGTGGTCGGCAGGGGGCGCTGTTGGGCCGCTGGAAGGTGCAGGACCTGCAGTACCCAGTTGTGGTCGGCAGGGGGCGCTGTTGGGCCGCTGGAAGGTGCAGGACCTGCAGTACCCGGTCGTGGTCGGCAGGGGCGCTGTGGGCTCCGGCAGTCACCCGCGGGAGAAAGGGGACCGGAGGGGTGGTCCCAGGCCGCGTGGGGGAAGCCGAGGAGATGGGGGGTCCTCGTCTCCGTGGGGACAAAAAGGAAGGCAGGCCGCCCACTCCCACGGGAACTCACCGCTGTCTCGAGTGGCAAGAACTCACTGCAGTCTCAAGCGGTGGTGTCTCCAAAACTCCTCTCCCGCAGGCAAGCAAAACTCTCCGATGAAACACAGCAGCTCCGGCGGGCGGGACAGTCAGGCAGGTCAAAGCCGACAGGACAAGAGGTCGAACTCCCCAGGATCAACAGCCAAAAAGGGAACTAAACCTCCAGTCCCCCTCCCCAACAAACTGCCTGTCTGCACCCAGCGAGACAGCCACACACCACCCCTCTCCCCTTCCCGGCCAGGGCTCCCCCTGCTCCGCTTCCCCGCCCAGCCTTTTCTTTCTCCTAAGTGGGCAATCGACCCAGGCTAGCTACATCTTTAGTAATGCTAATAACCTCCCTTCCCCCCGCTCACTGTTTCTTTACCTTGGAGTGGGGCAGGGGGAAGGAAAATTCCCCTGATTTCCTAATCTACAACACCAGGATTTCCTACTACTACTTCCAGCATACTCCTGGAACAAAATTTTTTAATGCATCTTACTTGAAAACCAATAGCTAAAGGTTTTTTAACTCTTGCATACCACAGTTCAAAATGGAAAATGGAATGGAATAATGATACATCTTTTCAAAACTATGTCTATGCTGAAAGATTTACCTTGCATCTGGTGATGAAAAGCTGCTGCAAAACATGAGCTAAGATCTCAAGCCTTGCTTGAGCAACTGCCTTTACAAGTCATTAGTAAACAGCCTGAATTTTCCCCAAAGACACAAGAATGAAACCCAAACTTCTGTGTTTTCATAAAGTTTTTTTGCTCCTCTTGGACATGGTATCAACACTGTGCCACTTAATTTAAAGACCAACTTTTTCACCAGGAAAAACTATGTTCCCTCCCCGTGCACAGAGGGAAAAAAAATCTCTCTTCAAAGTATAGAAGAGATCATTGCAAAATATTAGCTCTGCCAGTACTAGCATAGTAATCCTCTTTCTCTAGTAAAGAAAGAGTGAAATGAGACCTATCACCAACTCACACAGAACACAAACAAAAGCTCTGTATTTTTCATAGAGCAGGGGATCATGCCCATAAGATTTTCTAGATAAATTGCTGGAAGGCATGACACCCTATAGGGAAATACCTGGATTCCAATTACAGAGATAAATTCTTACTCAAGGAATGAGAAGTGCTTAGTGCTAGTGCCAGGCAGAGGATCATAAATTACACTCTTATTACAGAGTTGCCAATCTGTCTAAATTGTACTCGAGTATTTAGTCAGTAGAGCAGAAGCCTGAGTCATAACATTTTTTCCTCCCTCTTCTGAGTCTTTTTACTGTGTCTCTTAAAATTTGCTTATACTTTCTTATATGCTTCCTCTGGCTTGTAAATATCTCTTTTATGCATAAATTCTTACAAAAATAATTATCACATTTAGAAACAATACAGGCATGACACAGAGGATCACTTGTTTCTTGATAGGCACAAAAGCCTCAAAAAATCACAGCTAAGCAGTAAGCTATTATTCAGGTTAGGATTGCACACACAAACATGGCTTGCACTGGGCAGGAAATCAATACATAGAATATAGTTCAAAGCCCACCTCCCCCAAAGGTTCAGATGAAGAAAGAACAGGCCTAAAAGGGAAAGGCTGTGGCTTGACGTGGAAATAGACCTCAGGGTGGCAACAGGCCAACTCACTAAGAATTCACTTAGAATAGCATCAGTGGCAAAGACTACTGTTTGTGTATGGTAATTAATATTAAGTATTCCCAATACAACTTTAGCAGCCCACTAGGCCTTTGTGCAGCAGGTACGAAAACCAATGTAGCTTTTCAGTGAAGAGTCTTCCTTACAACCTCAGGGTCCCAAAGAGCAGAGTCCTGCTAGTTACTAGGTCTCTATCACTCACACTTTTCTGGCAGATAAAATGAAGTTTATATTCCCCATCCCTCAAGGTGCTGGGCACTCACAATGTTGCAGGCAGCTGAAACAATAGGCATGGTTTGTACAGGGAGACGTGAATGCCACAGGCATACTTTGAAATTTGCTGAGTTTATTTGGCTGTCCAGTTGTGAATACCTGTGTCTCAAGACAAGCAGTGGCATGAACTGTTGCCGCTGACAAAATGGAGGAGGTGGGAGAGTAGGGGGACAAGGCCAAACTTCCCCTTTGGGCACCACTAAGCAGGGAAATCAGCCTAACCTGCCACCGGAGCCACAGCTCCAGTGAAATACACAACCAACACAACAGAAAGATATGGGTGGAGAGCTCCCGTTTAGAGTTTCAATTCTGGAGTCATTCCAGGCCCAGCTCCTGCTCAAGGCAGGGCAATCTGTCATCAGAGAGCAGCAGCACGATGTCAAAGTTCAGCTGTTCCCTCTTCCCTTGATACACCAGCCGGGCAGAGCTTCAGCCATTTTCAGGCTCTTTTCCCTTTTGTATCAGTCCATCAGAGACTGAGCTCAAACCTTTAGCTTGGCACCTGCAGTATTAAAAAGAAAGCTTAGAAAGTGGCTTTCCTCACTCGGGAAGCCTTAATGACCTATACTACACCTCTGCATGACTGATGGCTTAAAATATGAGCACTTGCAAACTTAATGTCATCGTTGTTGGATAGGAAGCAATAACTGTTCAGAACACAGCACAATCCTTCTGGTGACAGCATCTCAGTGAAACCTCTGCCTAAGAACTCAGTGCTAGTATCTGAGAGTTAGTAATAGCTATGCACAGTTTGACACACTTCACCTTTACCTTTATGTAAACCGGTTCATGCAATGCCGTTTGTGATACCTTGCACAATACCATGCACCTTATCTCAAGTATAGTCTTATCAAGTGGTGTGGGAAGAACAGATGAACACCATCAGAAATTTAAACACACAGAGAAACTTAGAAAAGCCTTAGAAAAAGCCTTAGAAAGTAAATTAAGGAGAGAACATAACAGTGTACTGAAGAAAGAAGGGTATAGAGCAGTTTACTACCTCCTGCTCGGTCCACCTCAAGAAGCTACAGAGCATTCAGCATCTCTCAGAAAGAAGAAAAAAATTTTTTCTCCACAGATTGCGTAGTTAGATTGCAAAACCTTTCATTAGAAGAAATTATTCAATATATGGTCAACAATACTCACTTATTCCGATTAACAAAAATGCTGACAGGGTTTTACATACCAAGGTGATCTCTAAATACATACTGTAGAGACGTGACTTGGGATAGGACAGCTTACACACTAGGGCTTTCTCAAGTTTCACCCTGACCATCGGATACCGGTTACTCTTAAAGGAGACAGGATGTCAGAGAAGGTGAATGGGCAACTCTGCTCGATGATCCAGCTGTGGTATGATGGTGATGGAGCAGCTGACAGAGCCCTTGTGCGCTGCTTTCCTCAACGACTGCGTTCCTCCTGTAGAACCAATCCATGTGCACTGCTAGAGATGCCGGAGTCATGGCTGCAGAGGCAGTTTCCACTCTTTTTCCAGGAACTTAAAAATTTCAAAATGTGTTTAGAAGGCTGAAAGATTTCACACTTGCTCTCCAAGAATAAATTATTCTTTCATGTAAATAGTTTTGGTAATTAAAAATACTAGCTTCGATGAGGGAAAAGGGGAAGCTTGGAAACTCAGATAGCTTTTTATTTTAAATAAACATATAAGGCACTTAGAAATACAGCCATATTGCAAGAAATTGCTAAAATTGATAGTCAAAACACCAATCTTTCTGAAGCTCTGCACATGTTCAGCAAGCTGGATGAAGACATCCAGCACGTATACCACTGATTCTACTTTTATTTTTAGTCCTGGCTTCTCCTAAGCTTTATTTCAGATAACGAAGGCATTGTATTCAGCTGCTAAAAAGAAAGAGAAGAACAGAGAGAATTCCTTAGCTACATATTTTACTTTTTTTCTTTGCTTCTGCATTACGTGATCAGATAACTTTTAGTAACATTTTATATTCATAAAAGCCGAAATTTACAGCCTGCAGAAATATTTGAAAGCATCATATCTACAGAAGTTGTTAACAATAAAAAGTATTTTCCTAAATGTTACTTTCCCTCCCCAAATGATTTTCTAACATTAAAACATTTTGTTATTTTTAAACATATTTTCAAATAATATAGGAATAGTATTTCCTATAGCTAACAGATTACAAAGATGGTTAATTATCACCAACTCTTTCTCATGCTTGAGGATTCTTATGTCAATAATCACTTCACTCAAGAATCCCACAAAGGCTCAGTGTCTTGCAAGCAGAGGCTTTCTACTCACATTGATATACACAAGAAAAATAGTATTATACTAATTGCTAGCCTAACAGTACTTCCTTCCAACACTCCTGACCTGTGTAAAATTCTCGCTTTTCTTTGAATGGATGCCTCTAGGATAGGCTCCTCTTAACATCTGAAAAATCAAATAAAACCCTTGCAAGTAGCTTTAAGAAAATATAACAGATAATCATAAACACGAACAAGTGCAAGAAAAAGGATTAAAACTCATTCTCCTTTACAAAATTGCTTTTTTTAAACAGGTTGTGAAACATTTCCAGGAGTTCTGCATCTCCTCTATTTATCTTCCGTAGTGTGCACCTGCTAAAATCTTGTGCATGACTGATACTCCTAATTAGGCAGCTCCATCAGTTTTGCTAAGGACCCTCAAAGGAAAATAAGAAGAAATTCTGTGAAGTATTTAATTTTTTCCTAGTTATCAAAATTATAAAGGAAAACACAAAGGCCCTGCAAGTGGAAAACAGTAAGAATTCATGACTGAGGCATAAACTGAAGAAAGATCTATTTTGTAGTTATTTGAATTTTCATTGCTCTTGTGATAATCTTTTACACAACACTAATCATGTGAGAATTCTCTTGCTACACTCAAGTAAGTAGAATGCCTTTGGATTTTTCATGAAAAGGCATCATCAGTAGCTTGTGAGGAAAACCAAAATATTCTATAGAGAGACTTCAATCTCAGTTCATTGCAATAGTTGTAAGCATACTTTTCCAGATTCCTACATTTGAATATTACATAACATCAGTTTAAGTAAAGACATGCTAGACTTCTAGAAATGGTTTTCTTTTTTTTAATTCTAGAGGCTGACAGGTAAAGAAATAAACATTATTACAGTCTCTCCATTCCCCTTTTAAAATTCCCAACACAACTGTACCAAAAATCCTGGTATGCTAAAACTCAGAAATATGTCTGATTCTAATTATGAAAATTTGAGAAGCAATAGTGTATGTAAACATCCCTCCACCATTTTTCAGAACAAATTACCAGAAAATTTCATATAAAAGATTTAACATGCATTGAAATCCAAATAACTGCTTTTAAGCAAGAAGTCACTCAAGTAATTTTATACAGTAACTGACACATTCGTTGCCATTTTCAGCCTCAGACCTCCACACTCCCCACCACTGAAAATGGTATTTTAAGGGTTATATCCTGCCCACTATCAGAATACAGCACAGGGAGAAAATATACTCCAAAACTGAAATCAAAATGAGATCTTTCCAGAGTCTTATACATAAGCTAATACTTCTAACTACAGAAATCACTGACTGAGGTTGCAATTATTTTCTCATTAACCCGTTCGTGTCCCATACCTTGTAACTTTAGCATCAAATTCTTAAGATCTACTTGGCCTAAAAAAACATGACTCCACATTTAAAATTACTGAAAGGCTCTTGACTCTCAGTATTACTAACAAGTGACCTTTGACAAAACCATCTTTTCAGTACATGACAAAAAGTACAGAAAACCAAAGCCAAACAAAATTACTTGCACCTGGTCATCTTTTCTCCATTGCCAGGTTAAGCAAGATTAATAAATGGGTTTATTTCTAATAAGCTTAAGAACAAAATAAAGAATCAAGATCAATAACTCTTCTTGGAAGCTGCATTATGTGTCCTACCATTTTAAGAGCTTTCTGGGCTCTTAATGTCTCCCACAGGAACTTCCATACTACTTAGTTGGTAAAAGAGGTACAAGATGTTGCTTTTAGAACTAAGACATGAAAAGAACACCTAGTGTCAATATTTAAAATACTGAGAATTTGAACTGATCACCCAAAGACTGACTTAGCTGGGGCTGGGGGACATCTTCCCTGGCAAATAGGCATGATTTATATTTGCGGTGTAGAAGGCGTTTTGGGAAAAGTTCAATCCCTAAAATGGCTGGAGAGCTACCTTGGACAGTTCAGCACTTTATTTAAGCAGATATGAAAGCATACCTCTTATCTCTTCTCCAAAACCTTACTCAGTAGGCAATAACCTTATTGAGCTTCACAGTACATCCCTTGGTAGGAATTAATCTTTTGATGTATATCTTGTGATCCAAGTCATTGTAAGAAAAACTGTCTTTTAGATCACAAAGTACTGAGGGTTGGGAGGGACCAAATGGTGGGCTCATGTGGTCCAACCTCCCTGCTCAAGCAGGGTCATCCTAGAACACATTGCACAGGATTGCATCCGGATGGTTCTTGGGTATCTCCAGTGAGGAAGACTCCACAACCTCTTTGGCCAATTTGTTCCAGTGCGTGCTCACCCCCGTAGTAAAGAAGTTCCTCCTCCTATTCAGGTGGAACTTCCTGTACATCAGTTTTTGCCCATTGCCTCTTGTCCTATTGCTTGGCACCACCAAGAAGAGCCTGGCTCCATCCTCCTGACACCCTCCCTTGAGATACCTAGAGACATTGACACAGACCCCTCTCAGTCATCTCTTCTCGAAGCTGAACAGGCCCAGCTCCCTCAGTCTTTCGTTATAAGAGATGCTCCAGTCCCTTCATCATCTTTGTATCTCTCCACCAGGCCCACTCCAGGACCTCCATGTCTCTCTTTTACTGAGGAGCCCAGAACTGGACACAGCACTGCAGATGCAGCCTCACTAGGGCTGAGTAGAGGGGCAGGATCACTTCCCATTTCCTGCTGGCAATGCTTTTCCTAATACACCCCAGGATACCGTTGGCCTTCTTGGCCACAAGGGCACACTGGACTGTGGACAGCTTGTTGTCCACCACGACCGCCAGGCCCCCCTCAGAGAGGTACTCTTGCCATGCCTACAGATATTCTAGTGATCAAACCACTAAAATCAGTATCCTGAATCCTGAGATGTTTCAAAATCAAGATATTTCCATGAGACTGTCTTTTTAAAATTTAAACCAAACATCAGTCACAATGGAGGTATGCTCTAAAATTAATAATAAAAAAGCTATATTCTCTGTGCTGTGTAATAATTTTACTGAACAAATAGCTCTCAAGATGTACTTTTCATAATTTTTATATACAAAACCCCATAGAAGAATAAAGCTTTAAGAAATGATTTTACAGAATATGTTGCAATTAATCATGGCATACGGTGTTCCCAGATATCAATACCAAACTCACAAATCAGAAGCATCTATCATGGAGCATTTAAACTGTAACATGTCCTTCTTGTCTTTGCAAATATAAATGATTTTTAAGATGCCCCACGCTTCAGCTTTCACCCAATGCAAATTAATCTACAAACAAGCACTGAGATCCTAGAGGTCTCATTTAGGGACAACATTCAGCATAGCCGCAGACATTTATTACACAATATTGATCTACTAAATGGAAAGTTTCTCTTTTGTAATCTTTGGGTAACTTAAACACATTTAGTAAAGGACAGCACACAAATATAACTTATAAGGTATCTTCTCCAAACAATGAGTTTGTGCTAACATGCAGAATAACACTACTTGCGGAATTTAATTATTGTAGCTTTTAAAGCATTTGCAAACCATAGCTAGTACATTTTCTCCTTGACTATTTGATTCAGGGGCTATAGCACTTAAAATACGTTAGCATCTTCAAGGCTACATTAAATTAAAATGTAATCATACTAATCATAATTTACTTTTTTCGTACTTAATTATTTAATTGTAGTCACATTTCATTAAAACAAACAGATAAAGTTCAGAATACTAAGTATAAGTGATTGTGCTTTATGCATTAATTCTAATGTGTCTCTAAAAAAAACCAAAACAAACAACCTAACAAAACCATCTCAACAATCAAATTAAAAAATCTGACATAAATCTATCGAAAAGCCCAAACCGTTGAGTTACCAAAACCTTAGCAAGAACAAGGTTTCTGAAATACGCAAGTGTGATTACATTTTGAATTTTGTCATTTTAAAGCCTTTACTTTCACTGATGTAAGGTAATTAATTTTTACATCACCTCTTCTTTTTCTTTAGATCACAGCAGAACTCAAACCAACAAGTGTGAGTGATTACCCACACTTACTCTAAAGGGCAGACAACACAAGTTTACAGAAACCTCGACCAAGACTACAGTAGTTACAGAACATAAAACAAAGTTAATAGATATGCCTTCTTGAGGATAATACATAAGAAGGGGTTTAGGAATTTTGTATTAAAAGCTCATTTCAGATTATGCAGTGTTTTCTCCTCCCTTCCACAGATCTGTGAAATAAAGTGGTAAACATGTTTTCTTCAATATTCATTTCGGTAAGAGTTTAGTTGCAAAATGGTTATACTTACATAAATATAAAACCACATGATGAAGCAAAATATTGTTAATTAGTAAGCCAATCATAAATAAATTCGCCTAAAATTAACAGAAGAAGCAGCTGTATTCCTTCTACAATTATACATTTTTTAGCATGTTTTTATTAGTCAACTTCATTGTCTAGCCTGGGACAAAACAACTCATCATCATCGAGCACTCAACAATTCTGCACACTGAGCTAAGTCTTTTTTTTAGTTACATTTTTTTACATTTTCTTTACAAATGTAATACTTATGTACATTATATATTTTATTTCTACAATTGATTTACTTTACTGAAACTCTACAACTTTCACAGGGAATTTGCTGAAGTCTTTAGTAAATATGAATCATTCCTCTTAAAAAGAAATTCATATAAACAACCAACATACATCACTGCCCTTTGACATCTCTGTTAAGGATTTGGATCTGGAAGGGCTACTATAATAAATGTAAGAAAAAAGGCTTTACCTAATTGTACATTTTGTTAAGAAATATCATCCCACATAGCTACATAAATTCACCAGCTTGCAATAAACAGAGCACCATACCGCTGCACAACTGGATACGTGTACAAACCAATTTTAAAGTTTACTAGTGAAACAGCTTCATCACTCCTAGCACTTTGAGACTGAAGTAAATCTGCAAAATTCTTTTGGAAATGTATACTTCTTTAGCTGTAAAGCTTCCAAAACAGTGCTGTCACTGTATATTGTGAAGAACAAGCATCCACTTCTGTAACTTTCCATATGCTTCTCTCAGCCCAATCTTCTGTCTGAAGTCAGAATTTTTCTTCTATTTATTCCTTGGTCACTTACAAACCTGCTGTTGAATATTAAGTAAGAACTCATAATATGAGAAAGCTGCTTCTGTCCGATCTTCAATTAAATGCTGAAAAAAATCTGTTTTGGCAGGGTTCTCATCTCTGAAAGAAGAGAGGAAGGTATTGAGCAAAATCAAACATTGAGCAAAAAATCCACTGCAAAATTCAAACAGAGGCCTAAGGTCTAAAAAATTTCTTACTGTCCTTTGGAATCTACATTCAGTCCAAAGATACTAAAATTGCAAATAATCTAAAGTCTAGGAAAAAACCTTGAAGTTTGCAATACACTATCAAACAACAGCATCTTTTTAAGGAGTATAAAATGGCAGAAAAGCAGGTGAAATATAGCATTTAAAGTATCTTGCAGAAACACCAAAAAGAAAATGTAAAAATACTTCTGTTTTAGAAGTCAGAAGTTAACAAATATTGCTGGTGGCAATGAAAAAATGCAAAAATAACATCTCTGGTTACATGTAATCTCAATCTCAACAGAACAGAAAAAGTAAACATAATTATATTATCCATAATTATTGTCCCAATAAAAATTATCAGAGACACAATCCTCTGTACTGGTATTGTACAGTGTGCAGCAAAGCTCCTCGTGTTTACTATGGTCTCTCAGAACTACTTGCAACTCAAGCAGCAGCCATCATGCCACAGTTGAAGAGCTTCAGTCCTGTATTTCAGCATTATTTCTCTAAGCAAGTCATCATACTCTCTAAAAGTGATCTCCTGTCTGGCTCAGTAAACTGAGTATTCCAGAAGTGAAATGTAGTCTCAAGTATAATAAATTTATTGCATTTAAACTTCTTTAAATGAGTTGTGTCTTGAAAAGGCTTCAAAACTTGCCTCATCTATCATAAATCAGCTGCTGTCCTACGGAGCTCAGTAACAAATACATACAATTACTTACCCATCTACAGATTACTTACTTTACTTCTTTTTTATATGCATATTATAAAAGCTATAACAGAAATTAACCCAGCTAACTCCATAGATCAGAAGGATATCCATTGCTTTAGCGTATTCTTAATATAAAAATATGCAACTAATTCCTAACAATAAAACTATTAGTAATTGAATTTGCACTAGATTCAAAGACGACCTTTGTCACTAAGCAGTTTTAGATAACAGCATTATATCAACTGGAAAGATGACGATACTCAGATAAATGCACTTTTCATCAGTTTTAATTAGACACTGTAAATACAAGTTGCCAATAACAACTTAGTATCTAACAGAAATACTTACTTTATTACTTGAAGAACTGGACTTAAAGGTCTACTGTCTCTAAGCCAAGATATAAAAGATCGTGTCCTTTCTGAAGAAAGTGCATCTACCTCAGGAAGCTGTGTCTGGTTGAAGGTAATGGACAGAAGTCAGCATCTTTTATTATCAAAACTATTTAAAAAACTATCTAAGAGAAACAGATCCTGAAAGTCGTAACATGACTCAAGCCACAATTTCTATTGAGAAATTAGCAACCACGGATTTATATATACAGATTTTTTTCTTCAGCTTTAGTGTTTAAGTCCACCTTTAACTTAAACCGCATTTTAAGTGCAAAAGATTTGAGAAAGCAAGTTCATTTGAGAAGTCATCTTTTCAAAATGCTGCTTTGCAGTCTTCTTGCCTTTATCTTCCCCTGGCAATCAAGTTCCTACATGTTGTACTATACATCACTGGAAAGATGAGCAAAACAAGAAGTGAAGTCTGAATTGCAAGTAAATTTCTGAATTGCAAAGATTATACTGGACTATTTGGTTGGGAAATAAGGTGAAAAAATAGAATTAAAACCAACTCTTCAGTCAATATAAGACAATCAGTATGACATAAAAGACTTTATTTCAGAATTAAAGTAGTTCCATTGCTACCTTTGTAGAATGGAGGACATAATTTAAAAGCAAAGATAACTTTATGTTAGTTTTTGTCTCACTTTAAGTATAAAAGATGCTATATAACCTTTAGAAAAAAATTATCCTCCTTCTCCTATCTAAGTTCTTCCTGAAAACTCCATTAACTAATACTTACCACCACCAGAGGAGCCAGTTTTAAATTGCCAATACACGCAAAATACAAAACTCTAAATAAGTAGTCCAATTCTACAGTAGTTTCTAGCTTACCACTTTTAACCTTGTCTTATAATTACCACTTGTCACTTCACCCCTTGATACTATGGAAGCTTTATAAGCAGAAAATATCTTCCTGTGTTTCTAAACTAACACATTTTTGGTACTATGTGAATATAACCATTTGATTCTGAACTTTTCTAGAGTGTCTTAAAAGAATCCTTCCTTACCTGCCAATTGTTGACATTTTGGAATCACTTCTCATGGAAGAGGAGACTTCTCTTTATTTGCTGCTCTGTTTCACACACTAGACTATAGGTTATAACATAAAAACCCCTCCACCAAAAAGCACATCCAAGGGTCTTTGATGTTCTAATAGCTAAAAGCATTTTTTAACATTAACTCAAGGCTTGGAAGCTGAGCAAAACTTAACTCTTACCCTTTCTTACAGGCCTATCGTGTCATACCATAGATTTGGTATCTGACACCAGAGAACACAAGGCTTCTGAAAACCATGGCATCAATAAAGTAACTCTAATATTAACCATTAACACATCTGAATAGATAATTTTTGTATTCATTCTGTGAAATTCCTTCCCATTCTTGTGAATGCACATGCATTTCCATAAAAAAATAAAAGGAGTAATGTATAGAGCAACTCTGGAATTTCACGAATACCAAACTTAAAATGTTTACATTCTTTCCTTAAAAACATCTGACAACTTCTATTTGGCTCCTATGAAGCTGACAAGTTAGAAGGTACTCAATAAAAAAACCCCCTAATTCACAGTTACGTAATTAAAAACTGAAAGTGCAGAAATAAAGAGATTAAATATAAATTCCAAGCGTAAATACTATACAGCTCAACTCAAATGCCTACCATTTTCTGTGGAACTGATGCATAGTTTGGGTATCCAAGGACATCTTTTATGAAGCTGTTATCACAGTTTTTTCCAATCCAAATGTAAAAAATCTGTAAGATATCAGAATCAGTTTTAGTAAAGGCCATGCATACATTTTAGAGGCAAGTGGTCATGTAATAGGAATAATACCAGAATAATAACTTTCATGCAAATGAATCACTTGAGCACTCCAGTTGCACTTCATGTATACATGTCTATATTCATTATTTGCACATTTACTTATTAGTACATTGGTAATTTTTAGAATAGATCATTAAACATAAAAAAATATAGGTAGAATGCAAATACTGAAAGAATGAGGATGCAGGATACATGTATAATAGAACAGTTAATGCGATAACTTCCCATGTTACCCCCTCAAATTCTGTCAAACACTGACTTCCCAATCTAAACAAGTCATAGTAAAGCATCGATTACCAAAACATATTATAGTAATTATTTCAGACATCTGAAGACAGATGCTAGTTTGACATTCACACACAGCCCTGAACTCATAAAAGGTTTCAAGCACTTTCTAGATTGTCATTTGAGTAGCATAATGCTTTATCCAATTAAGTATGTTTTAGTGTAATTTCTGCGGATACCTTAAAATGCATCTACAGATTTTGTTCACTTTCCACAATTCCCTCACTTTTGCATAAAACCACTTTATTTGTGTGTAGCTGGGAAGGTTTCTGCATCAGTGAGAAGTGTTTTATTAAAGACTGTAGTATATACATTTTAATAACCATAAAAGAGATTTTGGAAAATAAAAATACATTAATTCCAGAAAAAACACCTTGATGTGAACTCTTGATATATTCTGACCAGTCTGTCATGAAAAAACAAATCAGCCTCTGAAGCCTCAAAGATACTCCTTGGATCAAAATATGAAAGCCTTTCATTGAAACACAGATTACTGTCAGGTTACCTGGAATGCTGATTCACTACACTGTTATTACTGAGAGTTGACTGCTTTTAATAAAGAGTGCATGCATTGCCTCTTTTTTCTTTAAAAAAAAAAAAGTGTGTAAAACTTGTAACTTTTTTAACTTACTGAGCCACAATCCATAAGAAAAGCTCCTTCTCTTGTCAACTTCTCTGCAGACAACTTCTGAAGAGGTGGCTGAGGAACAACTCTGTCATTTACATGTATTGTACTCTGTAACAAAAACCAATACTCAATAACACTATAATTTTACCTTTAACCGGGTAAAACAAAACAGGAAAACCACTGTTAATCTCTAGTAAAATTTTGAGGATTCTCATGTAACAAAATACCATGTTAATCCTAAAATGATTATGTACACCAAGCAGTTCTAGAATGTTACTTAACCTAAAGCCTACTTTATTACCTAAAAAATAATAATGGAAGTTCATTTAAGTTGCTTATGTAACATTTCTGATGCTACAAATGTCAATATTTCAAAAGAATTCTAGTGTTGACACTTGAGTGTCAACAACCTCCACTGATTCTTTTCATTGCATTCAACTTTACTAGAAATGCTGCAAGAGCTGAACAACATCAAATGGTACTTCCTATAAGGGTTCACTATTTTACTGCATTCAATTGACAGCAAGTTCCTTGATTTAACATCCTGCTTGAAGTGATCCACAGGTTTCTCCACAGAGCACTATGACCGATCTGATTAAACAATCTGGCTGTCAGCACTGACATTATTAAAAAATATCCTCCCCCAACCCAAATCCCCAGTATTTTCAGATTAAAGCTGCTTCCCCCTCCAATACAAAAATAGGATGGGTATCTTAAGAACCTGTGAAGCACTCTACAAATAATGTAGGGAAAAACAGTCTACAGACTAAGTACATCTCCCTGTAGTAAAAGATTATTAAATAAACTAAAATCCCTATTTAAAAATTTCATACTGTAATGCCATAGATTAGACGTTTTGGGGGATTTATGCATAATTATGAAAATCAAGCTACTGAATTCCACTTGGGCAAGTTCTGGGCTTTACTCAATGGTCTCAAGAATCAAGTGTTAAGAGGAAGGAAAACAAGCAAAAACATTAAAAAATAATTCTGTAATATATATAATATTCTAGAGAAACAAGAAATTTAAGAGCAGCCTCTGTCACCAATACTTTAAACTGAAGTAATACTGACAGATTAGCACTCTGTTATTTGATTTAAAATGCGTTTTGTCAATTAATTTCAATAGGTGAAACAAGCCCTATTATTTGTATTATAGTACTAAAAATAACTGACCTGAAAGCCTCTGCTAATAAAACAGGATCTGCTAAAGACACTGGTGGTTCTTTACAGGACATGCACACAATACAGCATTTGAATCTAAGTGCCTCAAAAAAAACTTAACAAGGTTAGTTGAAGTTGGCTTCTCAAATGTTTGGAAGGGTGGAGTATAAAAAGACTAACTAATCAATTCCTCTGAAGAGCACTGAGTTTAGACTCACCTATTTGAGTTTATGAAATACCTCAAAAGAAACTCCGAGACTACAAATAGGTCAGAGGTTGTGCTGAACAATACCACTGCCAGAGAAATGACTCAATTTATTGTATAACACTTAAAACCAAACTCCCACACATACTTTTCCAAAGCTAGCAACTACAAACTCATAAAAACTTACCTAAAAAAATCCCTTATTTTTGCAATTATAGCCAACTTTGACCTCAAATAAAATCCCATCTTACTTCTTACTATTAAAAAAGTGCATCCATTTCCTAGGCTACCTCTGTAAAAGCTGAATTAATAAAATCTGGTTTCATACGTGAAATACCTTCTCAGTCTGATCACGACCAATGAGAAGTACAATTCTGTTTTATCCACTTCAGTCTGAGAAACCACTGTTGTTATTGCAGGCAACTTTATCTGATTTCAGTATATGAAACCTAGATTCATCCACCAGATCTACTTCACCCATTTCCCCCAGACAGGTGCAAAACACAAAAGCATACTGAAGGTGTTTCCAATGCATAATCTTCTCTGCTTTCTTTGTATAATAGAAAAACATGGAATTACTGTGGTCAGTGAAACAAGATGAAGGAAAACCACAGGTTTGCTCATAACACACTACTGTACTTGCAACTCAAAACTTGAAAACAAATATTTTTCTTGATTTTTTATAGTTTATGGTAAATTCTCCACTTATATTATAATAATAACTTAAATTATTGCAGCACAACATTGGGTTTAACAGGCCACTAAAACTAGAAAATGCTACAAACAGGCTTCATACATTACCTCATCAGTCAATTTGTCTATTCTGTACAAGTTGGGATGTATCATTTTCATCAAATGAACAAGAGGCTGGCTCTTCATCTGGCACATTGCATATACACGATCATCCAAGCGAGTGCTTGTGCCTGTCCTGAATGCTTTCTGTAAGAGAACAGTGTTGCTACTCAAATAAACCCTGTATTTTATGTCACATCTAAACAGTGCATTTCAGAATTTTGAAAGCTTCAAGCAAAGATGGCAAAGCTTTTGTATAGAAATGTATCTTAGTGAGATAGATCAGAATCTGAATCATAGAGCTTGAATAGAATAAGTTTAAAATGTAATCCATTCTCCCTCCTTACTGATAAAGGAGATTAAATTTCCCCCTCAATTTGTCTAAAATTTGCATGAAATTAAGCCAGCATTTCTCATTTTCGCTCTTGACAAATGCTACTGCCCTCTGAAACTCACCAATGCAAGCTATTATGGAAAGATATGAGACGAGCAGAGTCCAAGCAAGATACTTATGTGCATAAGATTAACTCTGATTTTACAGTAGTAAGAATTCATTGTCAAGGGAAAACTTTGGAAGGGAAATATACTTTCATGTTTTATAGTGAAAACTAGGCTCTCATAGGATAAAATTTGTTTTGTAACTCCTTCCTACTGAATTCTTCAGATTCCCTTTAAAAGCAATTGTTAAATGATTGCTGTGAGAAGCAACACAATGAAGTAAACACCATGTTCTGACTCAATGGAGAATATTCCTATAATCAAAGTTCATATTCACTTCTACAGCAAAGCTAAGTACATCAGTCCTCCTTGGCTGCCACAAGTACTTTGGTTTGGGTTAAAAAAGATAATAAAAAAAAAAACCCAAAACCAACCCCTAAACAACTTGTTTTCTCAGCCACTCTTATTTCTGTCTTTTACATGGATCTTCTTTATAATAAATGGTCCGTTTTTTACCCATCATTAACTACATTACTTATGCAAGTACCAAAAGATCATAATCAGTGTATCACAGGCTGAAGTAATCACTAAGCCAAAGAAAATAAGTGATTATTATTACATCTCTTACTAAACTTGCATAAAGGTTTATTCATCATAAGAGAACAAACAACTCTCAGACATGAAAATCTTTAAGCTGTGAGATTTATTCATAACAAAACCCTGCAGTAAGTTCTTTTTATGTATGATGTTTGGTAATCCAAAGATATCACAAAAAAAAAAAAGTAGTAACTAGTTCTATGTGACCTTTAAACTATATCACTTGAGTTTCTGTAATAACTTTCACCTTATCTCCATGGAAACTAGTTTTTCTTTTTAGAACTTTAAAGTACAAAGTATATGTATTGAAAAATATTTAACTTTTCCTCCATAAAATAAAGTTGGAGAAGTATTAATAAGCAGCTTTCACCAATCTACACCAATGAGCTGCCAAAAATCTGAGAAATGCTAACTGTAACAGTACAGATATCCTTATTTTCATTGTAAAACAATATAAAACAAAACATAAAAAAAATCAAAATCAAATAAACTAATAAATGGTTCAGACACCAGTAATTTAAAATAAGCTAATATAGTCATCTTCTACATGAAAGTCCTGTAAGCATAAAGATAACAACAAAATTTTCACTAATTTTAGACAAGTGCAGACACTGCTTGACCTAGAACAGTAGAATTCCTCAAATGGAACAAAGAATTAAATATCAAACATTAAACCACTAGATTATACATACCTGTTTGAGAAGAGCCAAAATATAGAGTGGAAACAGCTTGAGGGAATTTGGTGCTATCAGCATGGACTGCTGCAGATTTGAGGCAGTTGACATGTATGCTGCCAAGGAGTCTACCACGGCATTAACTAAGGCATCTCTTGCATCTGCAAGGCTAGATGAAACTGAGCGATCCACAGCTGTTTGGGGTAGAAGGACAGAAGAAGTTATTAGAGATGGCCTCATTCATTCCCTTGAATTTTGAAAATATTAGTTGAGCTTCTGGGTTATGCTTTAAAGACTTGAAAAAAAAAACCCAAAACCACACCTGAGGTCTTAAATTTTTTAGGAGCAAATCAGATGACTGTCCATACTGGAACTCACCTTCACAATTCTTAAAAATACAGTGTGGCTAATTTTGGCTCCATAGTTTGTAGTCTTGGAGAATTGAAAGAAATTTTTAAAGCTGTCATATACAGTTAAGTCTAAATATAAATCCTGTTTTAAATCTTATACAAATAACTTGGCTATTGCTGAAACTCCGCTGCCCAACCTCCAAGATAAGATTTGCAGCAATTAATTTTGATTTCCACCACCCCCCCAAGAAATTTCCCGTTATTTTCTCCATTATTTCACTGGCATAATTGTGATAAGTGTAAATGCAGCTTCACTTTTCTCTGCTGAGCAAGGGCTGCAAATTCTTTGAGTGGAGGAAGCCACCTGCTGGACTGAATGCGCATTTAAGAGGAGATCACAGAACTGTTTGGGTTGGAAGGGACCTTACAGATCATCTAGTTCCAGCCTCAAAAGATGTAGAAGTACTATTTATTTCTTCTAATTGATTTCACTACTAATTTACAACACAGCTTATACTAAAATGCTGCACAGAGTCACACACATTCGATGTCAGAGATCAGTCTACGAAACATCTACTTATGACCCGCAAGTTGGGACAAGTAAGAATCCTCAACCCAGCAACAACAGAATAGAAGGACACAAAACTAGTATTTGGATACACTGTTGTCAGAAGTTGCCTTTTAGTCTCCAGCAACTCACTAAACTGAATCACTGTCTCTTAAGTAATCCTAGAATGCTTAAGTTTGAGATAACAATTATGATGATGATACAAAAATGAGAGTTTTGATCCAAGTATTCTTTGTTCTTTAATAAACTCTAAAGAATGTAAGGCTCCTTTTAAAAGATTAAGGTCAACCAAGTATTCAGAAGGAATATTTTGGTTCACAGTTTTGATATAACTTTGATTTTGTCATCTTTTGCATTCTCAGGCTTCAGTGTGCTCCAGTTTAATACCCAGGCTTCATTTACTATTTCATTTAAATGGCTGGCAAAATTAAGAACATACACAGAAATACTTGAATCTTCTTGGTCTATACTCACCCATGTTGGCTAAGAGGCAGACAACTGCTTGTACATCTGCTCCTGCATATACATCAGCCAATGAACTTACTACGGGCAAGCAAAGTGTGTGCACTCGAATGCGACGTTCACCTAAGAGAAATCAGAGGAAACCATCATGAATTATCTCCTGCTAGAAGTATACAAATTCAGTCTTTACTGCATATCTCCTCTCATCTAAGATGCACCCATTTTATAAAAACATACCAGTCAGGAAATTGATTTAACACTGTCTCTCATTCCTGTCTCAACCTGTTCAAATTCTGCTCTAAAGCAGCACAAGTTGACTTACAACATCCACAGTGTCTTGATCCTACAAATGAAGTACATGCATTTTCATCTCAAAATTTTGTGGCATCTTCCACTATAGAAATTAGCTGCTATTCTTTAATGCCCACCCAATGTAGTAGCAACTCGTTCCAATTCATCATAAGTCTGTGAATTTGGACAAAGTGCCTGCCAACATGTTACTGCTTGTAACAATGGTATCACTTGTAAGTAAAGGATTCTTGCTGAATCAGATGTAAGATGCAGATAAACCACATTATCCCATCAAAATAGACTTTATAAGGATTTCCATTATGTGATTAACTGCCAAGTAGGCTCACTAGCCTTGAAAAGATTCTCTTAGGGTATAGTGAACGACAAAAGGCTGTGGAACCAACTATACAAACATTATATTATAGAAAAAGCCCACTGGCCAATTAATTTGAATTTATTTACCTTTGCTGGAAGTATACAAAAGAGCTGTTTGAAAACAAACCAATGATGTGTCAGTCAGACTTTCTTCAATGGACATTTGTACTGCAAATCCAGCATCAGGATTGACATTAGCAAGGGACAACAAATCAGTAGATCGTACAAAAAAGTTCCCATGAAAAGTGTGTATTGAAAGACCTAGAAGTAGATTAAATAACTCAGAATGAGTTTAAAACAGCATGGAAAACTCTTATCAATAACTAAAATCCACAGCCCTCAAGCTAGGTTTAAGAAAACAGTAAAAATTCTATCATGCAAAATCAATTACATGAATCATTAGACATTTCAGCACGATCCTGTAGAGTTCATGTTCAATTCTGAATGCTCCAAATTGATGCCCTTACACTACACATGTCAATTTAAAGCAAGATCGTGCCATCAACTAAAGAGCAAAGCAACAAACGCCAAAAGCTAATGTGACTTACATAGAGAAAACAACTACCTTACTCTTCAGAGAAAGAGAAATAACATGAACTTTAATGTTGCTCAAGACTTAAGCACATTCAAAATGATCATTAACACACTTACACCAACTTTTCCATGTATTTAAGACATACCTTTTGTACATCTTATGCGCATAACTGCTTCAAATCCAATCTTTCTTGTAAGGTATCTTTTCAGGTCTTTTTGCAACTTTTCAGCCTGAGCAGGATTATGGGTACGATGGAAAGATGGGTAGTAATAGATGCATCCAGCAGAATACTTGGACATGCAAGCTGTGAAGGAAGAAAAGATATGGTTAAGAGGTAAAATTGTAACATGAAGTCAGGACACAAAAATTGTGTCCAGCCTTCCACAAATCACATCTATTCATCTTTTTCTTCATATGACCCACACCTATAAGACAATGAGAACTGGCCCAGCCTCAGGCCACTGAAGACAGTCACGAGCCACCTCAATACACAATGACCTAATTATACACTGAGCTCAATAAATGCCTCCTTTGGCAGCTAAGACTGAAGTGCCTGCAGAAAAATTCGATGGTGTGGAGGCAAAATTAAGTGTGTGCACAAATCTTGGATTAATATCAAAAGATGAAAACTCTGTCCTACCCCTATAATTAAACTTTATTTATTCCTCGCCATCTGGCTGTTTCCTGTTCTTGAGCAGGAGAGAACATTCTCATTTAAAACTGTGAAATCCTAAAATAAGTTGTCTGATACCACCAATACAATATTTCTGTTCTTTACTGCTATCAACTTCAAAGTCAATTCCATTGCAGCATGAGCTGCACTTCCGAAAGTGCAAAAATATTTACATGATTTAAAAATTCCTGAAGCAGTCTATGCTTCTAAAGTAAGACAACAGTGCAGAAAGAGGGAATGCAGAAAGCTTCTCCTTACCCAGAGAAGCTAGATCAGAATATTGTGAACTTAAGAGAAACAAATCCACAGCAGTCTGCTGGCCCGAACAGTCCAGTGCCAACTTCTTATAAAAGTCCGTTGCTGGACCAAGATGCTGGACCACCTTTAGTGAATAAATTATACAGGGAAGAGTTAAGACAACAATCGTGCTTTTTAAGAGTTCATGGAACAAAAGACATACTAGTCAGCAGCAAAGTATCATAAGGAAGTTTCCTTTAAACAGTAACTTACAGGCATTCCCACCTTCAGAAACTATTTTCCTTATGTTCCGTATTATTTAAGTTTGCGTTTACAAGCAGTTATGATCCTACTTTCGAGGAAGTTTACATGCTCATACAAATAAACATTCATGCAACTGTGTACCACTTATTGGATGCTGTGAACTACAAGGCCATAAAAATAACAAGAAACCATGTTTTAGGTCTACAATTTAAATATCCACACTGATCAAAAACTCAGGTTGATATTAACCAAGTTAGAAATATTTGCAGCTTCTTTTGCTTGCCAAGGAAAACTATGAACCAAAGGTCCAAAAGACAGCTCGTGCACTTTGAAACAAGTAACACCACACATACATGTGTGATCTTAAATGTATAAACATAATTCAATTTAGTGAACTGCTATAAACAAAAAGCAAGCATTGATCTGCAGAACTACACAAGTCAGAAAGACATGGCCAATACTTAGTCTCATGAAATGAATTTTAAAGGAAGTTTTTTACCTTTGTGCTTGACCTTTGATTGGGATCTTCTCTGGAATGCAAAAGCCCTGCTCCCAAGGACGGTAACTGAGTTTGAAAGACAGATATCCGACCACCCGTTGGAGACATCAGTTTAAATGCAGCCTGAAGAGCAGGGCCCAATGCACTGTGTGTTTCTCTTGTATTAGTGAACATATTTGGTAATGCATTCAATAGGTCTTTTATCAGCTGCAGAACAGATTGAAAGGTGTTTTATGAGACTTTACAAGCTTGAGATTTTCTGCTGTTTCTAAAAAGCTCTACTACCATAACTGAAGTGACACAATCTGTACCAAATATTTCAGTTTAGTTTTAACACATTAAGGAAAATAAAGGCATAAATTTAGAAGTTATGATGTATCAAACTACATGTAATACTTGTATAATTAAAAATTAGCATTGGAACTACATATTATGAAGGTAAGTTTGAATTCAAAGTTTAACAGGAACATCTAATTTGAATATTTACTCTTTAAATTTAATTATATATTTTAAGCAATCATACCTCTTTGCTTTCATGGAGATTTACAAGTAAACTATCTGGTGTAGGCAGGAAAATATCTGCAGGGAGAATGGAAAACAACATTAAAGAAAAAAATAACATTAAAATAGAACAAAACATTTCATTGCCCACTGCTATTCATACCATGAAATAGTCTAATTTTCTGACAGTTGTGTTAGAGAGAAAAACACGGTCTATACAAAGCTTGTCTTATTCAAAGCAAAATTAAGTTTTGAATTTCACATTTTAAACATCACCTACTCTATAGTTAGTGTAAGACTACTTTTCAAAAATATATTCACTATACATTCAATAACACTGACCTAATACCAGAATAGTTGAGAGATTCTAATCTTTCTTCTGGGAAAAATAAATAATAGATTCTCAAAAATTCAGCTTCCATTTTCTTTTTACTTACCATCAATATCTGAGACAATCAGCATCTGAGGCTGAGATAAACCTTCTTGCAAGTTGTAAAACTGAACAGTGCTGTCAAACGTTATGAACCCTATTCTTGTTCTTGAGTCTCCAGGCAGCCTGAAGCATTGAAAAATAAACTATTAAGCCCTAAATCTCTCTCTCAATACATATACATACTCAGAGCTCCTGCTGATGTTAGCAGAAACTCAGCTCTAGTGTACAGGAGTGAAGGGAGAACATAAGAAAAGAGATCTGAAACATAAATACAAGCAATATTCTCTCAGTATTTTCTGAAAAGCTGAGATAATGGCACGGTTTACAAGACCAATGTTATAGATGAGCACTCACTAATATATTGATATTTTGCTCCAAGAGAGAACCTAATAAGTTCATTTAAACATTATACTGATACATGAAAGAAGGCAGTTCTTCAACAGAAAACAGTGCATTCTGCTCTTTCATAATTCAAAAAACCCATTTACTAATGTAGTTACAGAGTACTTACAACTCTAAACCAAAATCCAATGTCTCTACAATGCAACTTACTTATTGCTCATGGGGACCATATTTCAGTAAATGGCATTAAAAATATAAAGTTAAAAACTAAAAGTAACTTCTCAAATAGAATATAAAACATCAGCAAGTGCTGAAAACCATGACAGTGACCAAAAACAAAAAAGGCGACTATTGTTGTTACCACCTAGGTATATAAATGAACTGGATGTACTGATTTTCCTATAGACTTTGAGTGTTTCTGAGATCTGTTAACAAAATACCCATAAAAAACTGAACAAAGAAGGACTAAACTAATAAATGGAAGAATTTTATTGTACATATTGGTTTCTTCATGAGAAATTAAAATCAAGTTCCCCAAGAAAAATTTGTAGAAAGGAATTTTCGAGCCTTCACAGGATTAGTTGTCAAAAGACATGAACACAGTGAAGCTTATTAGCCCTCACTAAAAAAGCACCAGCAACAACCCCATGCATGCTGTCCCAGTGCAAAAATGTGAAGAGACAGAAAGCGGCACAGGTAGATCTAGGTGGATCCAGCATGCAGCACCTTAGCTATTTCAGCACAAGAACCGGACAACTTCATCTCTGTAATTTAGTTCATTTTTGTTGCTCTTGGCAGAGGGGAACACTGCAGTGCATAGATCTTTGTACAATTAACATGTTGCTAGAAGTTATAGCTAAATATTTTTTACAGATAAGTAAGTAAATTATATGCAGATACACCTTTAATCACATTCAGGGAAGACAGCCCTCACCATGTAAATTGCTTCAGCAGCTGGGTTTTTTTTGGTTTTTTGGTGGTTTGGGTTCTTTGGTTGGTTTTTTTAGAGATGTAAGCTGCATTTCAGAATTCCGGGCAACTGAACTTCTGCTCTTTGGGGACAGGATGTTTAGACACTATATGCAAGTTTTTTTCAAAATTGTAAATTACTATTGTTCATAACAACATGTCAGCTGATTTGAAAAAATTGTTTATACTCTTACTTGTCTAGATTTTCCAGCAATGACTGGCAGACTATTGTCAAATATCCAGCCTCCACTGCATTATGTGACACATCTAAAACAAATAAATATACCGCAGGCTGAGGAGGACGAAGCTACAAAGTAAAAAAAAAAATAAATAAAAGAATGTTTAAAAATCATATTCAAAGAAATGGTAAAATTGATTAATCATTAGAAAGGGAAGTGGGAAAAGGGAATACTTAGAAAAATGCAAGGTATACAGTATGCAATAAAAGCAATTTACTAAGAAACATGTGGACAGACTTAACCACAATTCCCACTGGTTAATAACTGCCATTTGTAATAAATATACAGAGTTATACTTCAGAAAAAAAATTTGATATATTAGTCCCTCCTTCCAACAGTCAACTCAGACATGACATTCATGAAAGATATGGAATTCACCCTTCTATACTCCACTGTTCTTTCAGTGTGATGCATTAAACAGGGTTAAAACATTCTACCTACAACCTTTTCCCAACTCTGTAATGAGCTCTGTTTATTCATTGCCAAATGTCTCTGCTACAATGTTTCAATTAAAAGACAAGAGAACAATTTATTTTTGCTGCTGTTAATAATGTCAATTATGAACAGGGCCTTTTCCCAGGCGTTGTTTAACTTTTTTGGAGACAAGACTACTATCACAGCAATTGTAAGCTGACTACTAATAAGAATAATTTCTGTCACAATTACTAACTGAAAATTTGAAGCTAAATTAATTTGCTTGTTATTCCACTACTGGTCTTTCAAAACCTCCTCAAAACAATGGGGAAAGCCAGAAATTACATTGCATTGGGTTCAAATCTGACTGTGCCACATTAAACTACACTGGATGACAATACACACTGAACTGACTTTAACTGACAAGCCTCTGAATGTCTGCATTAGCAAAAACTCAAAATATGAATTTTAAATAATCTTTAGTGTTAAGAGGACCTTCACAGGAAAATTAATACACACCACTGGAGCAAAATGCAACATTAGTTTCAAATGCTTTCATATTAAAATACAATTGCTCTTGCTCAAGTTACCATGAAAAACGTTTTTTACCATATAGTCTGAGGAAGCAATGAATTCCACTGTAGAATTTTGCACCTCTGGCCGTTTATGAGGCTCTCCATAAGACCGTGTCAGAGGATTATACATAAATTCTTCAGGAACTATAAAAAAAAAAATGTAATACAGATTATATTTTTGTCAGCAAATAAAAAACATAATTGAAGCTACAAGCAAAGTAACGTGGACACATTTCAATTATCACAACAGGAAAAAATTCACATGATGGATACATAAAATGAAGGAACACTTCAAAGATCTCAAGCAACATCCAAGTTAAGTAATTGGAAAGAAAAGAAAGTTTATTTTAAATAGCACTACATCACAACTATAAAACACCAATGTAAATAGAGCATTTCACACCAAGCAGCAATCTGTATTGCTTCTCATAACCCCTGGCCTGGACTGCAGACAGTAGTAGCTGTCATCATGTTTCCATTTGCATATTGCAACAGCAGTCAATGGAATAAGCTGAATTCATTATACAAGTAATCAGCATTATATGAATACATTTTCTTCATCTCCCACGAGACTGCAAAACAATCTTTTCCTTCAAAAAAACGCACAACACATCTGACTTAAGATGTTTTTTTAAAATCTCTGGATCATAAGAACACTGTCACTTTAATCTACATTTTAATCTAAAGTCTCCTATGGACTGATATGATGCAAATGCTTGAAAGAGATACTATAAATGCAAGCATCTCCTGCTACAGAAACTTACCATCATTAACTCTATAGCACAGATTGCATTTCCACCTCCTTTGATCAATGAAAGAAACAAAAGGGTTGATATACGTCCTGCAGGATCTGCATCTTACTATTGTGCTTGATGTTATTACTGGTAATTGCTAAAAAGAAACAATGGAAAGCTGTCACAAAGGTATATGATACATTTCATGGAACTGTGCAGTACAATTCATAAAACCTTCATAAGACTACGTATTCTATCATCTTTCCTTTTAGCTTTTTAGTTTATTTTCATACAGAGTAATTATGATGCCTTACTAAAAATATCTTCCCCATTAAAATCAAAAGAAATAACATTTAATTATTGTCTCAATCTAATATCTCAATCAAAGATGTAGTAAGATTTTAAATGAAAGTATTTTAAATTAGAGCTACTGTGGCAAGAAGAATTATGAAAGACAGGACCACTTTGAGTGACTAAATATGACAGATAGAAAACTTTACACAAATAACACATATTTTATAAAAAGAAGTTAGACCAGACAGTCATTCACCTTTTTACATAAATACTAATAAATCAGATGGTGAGGAGATGCTTAACAGTTATAAATACATCTTCAATCTTGTACTGTGCTTACTTTCTGTTGAAAGCATTTATCAGGCCAGTAATACACTCAACATGAGCACAAGAGGGCTCTGTAAACACCTTTTCAAGAGCTACCTGACAGTTGTGAGCCCAACACACAGAGCACTAATTCACTGCTTCGGAGAACCACAGGCAAGCAAAGATTTCCAACAACAAGGAAAAACTTCTCCAAAGCTTCTCCCTTATGAATTTCAATGAAGTAGCAATTTCAAGGCTTTTTTCCCCTCCTCCTAAGTCCCAAACAAGTTTTTGGTACTTCTGTTAAATTAGGACTTACAGTTCATTGTCATTTCTCGTTTGAATGAAAATAAGACAAATGCACGTATTAAATACACACTCTAAAAAAAAAGAAGTACGAAACTTTACCGTTAGGTCCCTGAAGGGATGCAGCAACAAACCCAAAGGAAGCTTAGCTTTGTTTAACAAAGCCTGTGTTTGTGGAATATTTGTCAATGTACATCGAAATGAGCTGAAAGGAAATAAAAACATTATATTGAAAATGAAATTTTAAGAGATGTTAAAAACATTGTCTTAACACCAGATTTTAAGGAACTTAGAAATTTAAGAAATCCTGTGTTTTACAAAGCTGATTTAATAAAAAACAAAATGCAAAGAGATTTAAAAAAAGGCCTCCTAAAGAAACAAAATAACCCAGTCCCCCACTCCCCAGTTTAGCAGTTCAGCAGTGCAAGTATACCAACTTGCACCAAAGAATCAGAACTGCTTTAGGTACAACACTCAATGTAAAATTACGTATTTTTCTGTTCATTATAAAAATTTTTCCAATGAAGGAACTACAGAAGGAATATAGTATTTACTAGTTCTCAGAAAGCAATATTCACATAAGAAAATGGTAGAAAACGATCCCAAATACTGAGTAGAGTCAAAATCTTTTCTTTTGTGTAACATGGAGGATAGACTTCAAGATAATTTAAGGGACACTAAAAAAACCCCATGCAGAAATAGTGCTGTCCAAAGTGATCCATACTTAAGAATGGTTTCTAGGCTCTCAGCTTTCTGATTTCTGTTTTCTGGTGGGACTGTGTGTTGTCACTAGAGCAGTAAGGACGCTGAGTCACTTTGGGGCAACAAAGAATACTTATTTTGGAATTACAAATAAAATCTTTGGGGAACAGCATTTGCCATTGTACCAGGTGGACTTGACTTGGGATAGTTGTTAATTAATTCTATTGTTAAATAGAATGTTAATCAGAGGTGAAAGGATACATTAGTCAATGTATTCAGGCATGATCATAATACTTTTCCAGAAAAAAATCTTGTGCAATATTACAAAAATATTCTACTGCATAACGTTAAGGTGTTTATTAAAACTTTTTTTTTAAATGGATAAAACAAGGTGAAGATTAAGCAGACTTCTCAAAATATTAAGAAATAAGCTACACTCCCGCTGCATATAATGTATTCTGATGGCAGGACAGTTTCAACATTTGTGTAAGGATGCAGAGGATAAACTTATTTCCAAGTGAAAGAGTTTTTATTAACTCATCACGACAATTTAAATTCAGGAGTCAGTTTACACATTTTTTTGACACTTTAATTATTAGTTACTGAAAAATGTAAGATACTGTTCTAGACACAGTACACTCACTCTGGACTGCAGTTTAATTTCCTAAGATCAGAATTCAAGTTAGGCACAGGTGCTGGAACTGAAGACACTGGCAAAATATTTCTATCATGTGTAAGGTTTACTGGTCTCAAGCTTTCTGGCTGCTGAGAATGCTGTAGACTTAAGCTTCCTAAGGAAGAGGACAGCTGGTTCACACCTGGATAGTGCTGAAAAAGGTAAGAGTATGACAAACAGGTAAACACACATTCATGTTTAAATAACAACCTTAAACCTTCTTGTAGTCCCCTTTCTTCCAGACACATATTGAAAAAAGATACAGCAGCACTTAGCAACAAACTCAAACAAACAAGAGGGTCGTATGGTAGAAATTTAAAGATGCTAAGACAAATGTGACATACCTTCTAAATATGTACCATCGGACAAAATTCAAATTCATGACACAAATCAACACAGGAAGTCAGTCACACATAATCCTTCCATCTCTCCAGGCATAAGAAAACAAATTACTAGAAAGGCTGACACAGTTTCCGTCCCTGCACTCTGCAATGTAACTTTTGTTGCAATGTAACTTTTTCAAGTTACAGACACTGCTTTTATATATTTATTTTTAAACTAAAACCATAGAAGAGGAGAAAAGGTTAGGTTGGAAGGCACCTTTGCAGTCTGGTAGTCTAATCTCTTACTCAAACAAGGCTATCTTAAAAGTCAGCTTATGTTGTTTAAAAAAAACTTGAAAGTTAGTTTAGACTTGTCGAGTTTTGATAATATCTAAGGATTGACAATTTCATGACACAATCTGTTCTACTGCTTCCCCACTCCATTCCTGAAGAATTTTCTCTTTATGCGTCCAACTAGAATTCACTTGCTGCAACTGCTGTTCTTCTACTGCTGTGATCCTGAAAAGAGCCTACCTGCATCTCACATTATAGTGAAGATGAAGCCAATCCTTTCAATTTAAAAAAAAAACAACAATGAATAATTTCTTCCAGGTCACATTTTACATTACCTCTGTAATGTTCCTGGATATTATATACTAAGTTATGGTACTACACTCAGATCACCTACAACAGCAGTTTCACTCTATTTGCCAGCTGGCCCTTATTTCAGAAAGTAAGATTTGTAAATCAGTACATTTCTTTTTGTTGACCTCTTCACACATACATTTCTTTGCACTGCTTCAGCATTTCTACTTTTCCTCAGTGTCTGTCTCTTCTTCAGATTTCACTGCACTCAGGTGATTCACATGTATGACAGGAGTCAGGTGATTGTACATGATTTCTTGGGTGTTTGGTGCTCTCTTTGCCAGGAAAACAGAGCAGACGCAGTCAGCCTGCCCCATCACACACGCAGCCAGCACAAACTCTACAGAGCTCTTTTATGTGGACCCTATGCCATGCCTTGCTCATGAGGTCATTTAATGCTTGAGATCATAGCCTATAGTAGTGCTCGAATACATGCAGATCAAGTACTTCCTTATGGTTTCCTATCAGTGATGTTCAGCTCTCTGAAACACCAAACCTTAAAGCTGTGGATGCTGCTAATAACTGGTGAAACAAACTTGTTCAGCTTAACTACTTCGAGGCACACTTAAAATTTTCATTCAAAAGCCTTCCAATGAGTTTAGATCCAGAACTACGACATCAATATTATACTTAACATTTGTTGTCTCAGAAATTATAAAAATAAAATAGAAAATATGAAAATAAAAGGAGAAATACAACACGTAGAAAAAGGTTTTCCAAGGAAGTTATTTGATGACGTAACTTTTCAATTAAAAATACAAACCTGTGGATAGTGTTGAAAACCAGGATGGTGTCCTGGATTACTGGGCTGCACAGGAGTAGTTGGTGTTGCATTTTGGTAGCCAGGCTGCAGTGCTGGATATCCATAACCAAAGGGCTTTGAAGCTTTTGATGTTTGCGGGACTGATGGAGCAGGAACTGGGCTGCTGGTCACGGAACGTGTATCTGAATGGACAAAAGAAATCACACAGAAGGTATTGAATATACTTACTATTTCCTTCTTAATTTAAATGTAAATTCCTAAATGCTTTACAAACAACATTTCCATTTGTAAGTGTTTTCATTACCCATCAAGTTACTTTTCTGCACTGAAAAAAGCAATTAGCAAGGAAGATTACTGCAGTTGCAGTGACAAAGATAATATATATGGGAAAATGACCACAGTCTTATAGTTACTACTAACAAAATGTTGCTTTACAAAAAGAGGCAACCTGAAAAGTACTTCAATTGAATAAAAAAAGAAAAAACCTCTTAGAACCACATTTTATTACAACATATATATTTGATATAAACCACAAGAGATCATTCATGCTTAGTCTCTGCTCTACCACTTCTGAATACTGTCAAACATAAGGCTAAAATCATTCTATAATTCTACAATGACTTCATTAAAAGCTGTGTCTACATTTAGAGAATAGTTTGGTCAGCTGAGCCTTATGTTTTCACAGTATTATAAGTGGTAGAGGAGAAATTATGCATAATCGGTCTCTTTTGCAGTTTATAATTCTGATGCAAGTTTCTCCTGTATATCCCTGCAGCACAGGGATACAGAAAAAAAAGAGCCAGAGGGGTAGGCCTTCCAAATTAATCCAATTATCATTTAAAATACTGGCTAACATACTTTGAATAGCATCTTTTCCACTTGTTCTTAATATGGCAGCTCTACAGATTTCAAGACCAAGGCAGTCAGCTAGCAAGTTCATTTAGAAACAACCTGACAGTTCTGATATCTTTAGAGCTAAAAATTAGCAAAATAGCAGCCATTTTCTTTAAATGAAGAAAAAGAGAAGAAGAAAACCTAGTCCAAGCATCTCTGCAAGCTGATATTGTTGGTGGTGTGTTGACTTCTGTGGTGTGTGAGTCACTATTAGAAGCTCCTACTGTCAACACAATCAGGCATACAGTATGATCTAGAGAAAGATGCTGCTTTCACATTTAGCATGTTTTCAGTACTACCCTCAATACTATAATGGAAAGTATGACACGATTCAGGGAATTTTTCTTAAATGGTTATGTCAGCTTCAACGTTCAAACCGTGAAGCGACTAAAAAAGGCATGTATGTTTTCTCTGATCATTTCCCTCATTCCTTTCATAGGCATTTCCTTTCATCTGCTTGTTAACTAACAATAAACAACACCAGAAATAATAAAAAAACACGTTTAAGTATTTAAATAAACAATTCAAAACGAACAGTTTACCTGGATAGCCACCTCCTTCTAGGGCATCATAATTGTTCAGAACAGGAGAGGCACTGCTTGTAGTAGAAGAACTATCAAGTGCTGGGGGAGGAAAACAGTTTAACTTTAGGTACTTCAGAAATGCCAAGCTTTTGATAAATAAGAGACTGAGAATTTTTTTCTTAAAATTTTGATAAGAAACTGTCAAGAAAGATCCTAGAAAAAAACCCCACCACTTCAGTCCTAATACGTGAAGACTATTACCACTGCAAAAAGGAGAGGGAGGAAGATATAATTAACAAGATATTAAAAAACAAACAAGGACATACCCAACAAATAGCAAGAGAGATTGACGGGAAAAGGACAAAAACAATGAAAAAAGTTCTTTCTTGAAATAAATTTTTTTTCTATTAAACCAAAAGCTCTTTCTAGAGTACCTCAACTGAAGCCGTGCACATTTTAAAAATATCCATTCATGACTTTCTTCATAACTGCTAACAGCTGAAGATTCCCATCATCTTCAGAGTGATTATGCATCATCCCCACCTTCAAACCAAACTGTCAAGTATTTAATTCTTCCCTCCTTTATGTCCTGTTGTAATTCACAGCTTGGTTTCCTTTCAATCTAAAGTTTCTATTTTCCATTATCATTGACAAGAAGTCTCAGCTTCAGTCAGAATAAACAATTACTTTTCATTCAGCCAAAAGTAAAAGTAACTATGTAAAAGTAAGTACCAAAATTTAACTAGACAATATAAAAAAAGCACAATGAGCACATACATAGTTGTTAGTACTAAAGAAATTCTTACTGCTTACTTTTTAGTTCGACCTATGCATAGATCTTCAATATTTTATTGTAAAACTTCGCAAACAAAAGAATATTTGAAAACATCTCTTCCAATGCTATTTCAGACACATTTCCAAAGAAAAAGGGCCGAGGAGATAAAATGTATCTGCTCCTTAAAGCACATGAAGTCATGAAGTCTGACAGAAAGAGTCTATTTAAGAATTAAAATAAAAAAAAAAAAGATAATCACATGTATCATTTTTGTGGCAGAACAGACTTGAAAGATTCACTGATACTGTTCTACTCAGAAGGGTCAACCATGACCACGCGTTCCATTGCAAAACTGAAAGTATTTCAAGGGAGAACTTCAGTGGTGGGACATTTGAGATTCGATTGCCCTTCAACTGAGATTTCCAAGTAAAGAGACTCCTACCTATGAAACATAACATCACTGACATTTTGGACACAGCAATACCATGGCACCATCATGACAGTATAGATTATTTTTGAGCATTTCAAGCACTTAGCTAAGTGCCTTTAAAGCGCTTAGCTAAGAAACAGAAATACTATTAAAATAATACCTCAATACTATTAAAAAAACCCATAACACTAAAAATAATATATTATTTAAAATAAAATTTAACACTGTGACATTCATACAATCTTAGTTTTCAGATTTTCCCTCTTTTTTAAATCCTGGAGGATTTTATCTTTCTATTCTAGAAACTGAAGGAAACAGGATTCCTTACTTTGTTCCCTGAGCAGGAACTTTTAAAGTAGGGCTTTTAAAGCTTTGCTAAGTCCTACTACAGAAAACCCAAAATATACCTTTGTTAGGTCAACAAAAAACTTGAGAAGCTGCACAATCATAAGCAACCCGATTTCCTACATCTATTTTTCATAAAACCACTGTGACAGTCTGAGCTAGACACCTGTCTACTGAATCTGTTTAGGACTTAACATTAATTGCTGGTGACAGGATGCTTATTAATCAGATAGCCTATGTATTGAACCTGGGTGCCCCTTCACTCTTTTCCATAAGATAAATTTAAATACAGCGATACTGCCAAGGCTACAAGTTTCAGTTAAGTACAGAACTTGAGAGAGAAAGATGGTAGGGAGTATGAAACTTTGTTTAGGGAACAACATAATAAGAGAAAGGTTACAATCAACAGAAGAAAAAAAACAATCGACACATCCTTTGACAGAAACCTCGGCATGGGAACCCAGCACACTGTTCTTAATTATGATTGAATGTCATAATTGTTTTGCTCCATTCTTCATAGAATTAGTATGAGTACACTAAGATATTTTCACAGTATTCTAGTTGATGATTTAATTATTTTAATAAAATTCTGAATAATATGGCACTTATTTTGTTTTCTGACTAGTTACAACATGAATTATAAGCTTATAGGAAAAGCTACAAAAGTTTGCTATTCCAAATCAATACTAAAAGCCAGCACACACAAACAGGAGCAGTATATCAACACAAGGTATGTGCTATTACTTCAATCTATCAACGAGGGTAGTAGCCTAATGCTTCTCTCAAAAAGCTTTTTACACTCATATAGACAGTAAAGACTTCTATAAGCTCAAAGAAAAAATGTTACCATAATTCAAGAAACTAAGGTGAGGAGAAATATCAAACTCACAAAACCAAGCCATTCTGACAAAACACAGGCAGAATCCTTGCAACCAAGTATGTAATATATTTCAATCTATCAGCACAAACTTCTTCTTAAAAAGTTTGATTTTTTTTTAAAGTTTTCCTACAAAGCAAGCAGATTAAAATTGAACCTATATGCCTGACCATAGAGATATACCTTAGAAGGAGAAAAAAAATCCAGCACAGATTAATTTACTGTCATATAAAGCATGCTTACTACCTTTCAGTATTTACTTTACTACCTTAATTGTCAGAGTTCCCTATGCATAAAATGAGAAAAAAGGTAAACACTTGTTTAATGTACGGTATCTCATTGCTTAACATAAGCAATTATCAGTCTAAGTTCTACAGCTAGTTAAGACTTTAAAACCCATTCCAAATCAAAATATTAAAAATGTGAGGCTTGCAAGTTGTGAATATTACTTTGTTAGATCAATAAAATATCAGATATTAATATGACCAAAAAAAAGACCCATTTGTTGGCCACTGAACTCCTTTTTGTTTACTACACTAGTAACAGTTGGGAAATTTCTAGTTAACTTGATACATGATGAGTCAGTGATGTTTTGTCTTAAAGGAAGAAAAAGTTTCAGGGGATGGAAATATGGAGAAAACCTTGAGTAAGAAGAGAACAAGATACTGGTGTAAAGCTAAAGCCAACCTGCTTCCTCATCCTCCTCATCCTCTTCCTCATCATCTGAACTTGATGACAAGGGAGCTGGTGCAGAGCTAGCTTGATTATTAACATATCCACCATACTGCATGCCTGTGAAGTGGAAAGCACAAACATAAGAGTCAGACAGACAGGAAAGACGAGAAACGAAAGTCACAAATCATTGCATTAAAAGTGAGAGAAATTAGCTGTTCTACAGAAAATCCCAACATGCAAAAAGTTAAATCTACAACCCTAGAAGCAATTTTTAGTGGGCTAGTACAGAAAAGTATTAGTAGCACTTGGAAGTTAGCAGAAAACTTTATACATGTGTATGTGCATGTGTATCAGGAAGTTAAACACAAACAGACTTCCTATGTACCTATTTAATATCAGTTTGTCCACTGGGATACTTTCACAAATTAATACAAAGAAATGAACGAGTTATTTGCAGATAAATTATGTCATGAAAATGTTTAGTATTAACTTTTGCTTGGCACACCTGCCCCTTTTAAGACAAAAATACTTCATGCTGGAATTCTGAACACTGTCAGAAATGAATGAAATATACTGCTGTTGCCACATGCAAGAGTACAAACACACATACAGAGAGCACAACACAATCACTGAAAATTAAGCTAAGTAAACATGAAAATTTGGTTTGTCTTATTTTTAAATTAGTGCCTAAATTCAGACTTACAGGCCCATATTTAAGCACCTAAATACACTATTCACTTCTAATATCTGGAGACAATGCAACAACAGTTAACTGCTGTCACCTTCGAAGCACAACCTATTAGATTTTTTTGGTGTTTTTTAATTTGTTTGCTTTTATAATATCTACTCTAAACATATGTGAACAATACACAAAAGCAACAAACAAATATACCATTTTAAAACAGAGTAAAGCATGCAGCAATGGCTTATAATTTCCTACATGTTATTGATGCAATTTCAGCATCTCAAAGAAATCTTAAATTTCTCTTGTAACAAGGCAGGGTTAGCAAGGATTTTAAATATGCTTGTAGTCAGACAGTGATATCCTAAAAAAATGCAAGTGATCACTTTGTCTCTTAGCAATCTAATGGATTGCTATGGCAAAAAAATATCCTAATTCTTCAAAACTCTTCAAAATTTTTCAGATTCTTAGGAGTTTGAGTTTTTTCCCCCCTGTAAAGCACTGCGGCACCACTGAGTAGAATTCTTGATTTTAATACTATAAAGCACTAGAGAAGTGTCATGTTATGCATAATCTGAAACCATCCTGGTAAATAACAATATCCCGATCCACCACTTAAATCAACTATATCAACCTTTATTTTGTTTAAACTGTGGGCTATAAATGCTGTTAGGTTCATGGCTTTTTTTAAAAGGGTTAGCAAATGAACCCAAGAGGAGCACTTCAATTTCACTTAAGAAAAAAAAACAAAACAGAAAAAAAGATAGAATCAAGGTGAAGAGTATCTATTCAAACACTTGAAGTAAAAAGAAAAGAAAGCAGATCTATATAACAACATTCTTGAGAAGCTGAACTTTCATAGAGAAGTTAGTGCAAGAAAAGAATGACATACTCCTTTATCTACTGCGTTAATACTCATACAATTCCAATAAAGTTCTTCCATAATTCAAGTAGTCACAATGGTGAAGGCAAAATCACCTCAAGTGGAACTGAGGACATACAGTGTTTCAGTTTTTCCATACTGCTAAAACACAGGGATAATTTGACTGATTTCTAGTCTCATCTATTATGAAGTTTACTGGATACACTTGATAAGAAGAACGCAAGAAAATCATTCCCTGTGCAAAAACAGACTACAGCTAAGGAGACTATGCCTTTTCTCAGGCTTGGGAGAGCTACCAAGGAATAAGGCAAAACAACTGCATTATTGTGGAGGAGAAAAAAAACAAGTTTAAGTAATTAACATGCAAGTAAAAGGGAAAAAAAGTCAGGATGACAAGAAGAAATGCAGTGTAACAGAGAGAGCCAAATTAAAAGAAGATGCACACAACGTGAGGGTGCAAAGACAGATCTCTAATAAATATCACTCACATAGATAGGAAGGAGAAAGAAAGGATATCTACCTGGAAAGTGCATGACAATGCAAAAATTCCAAGCATGCGCAGATGAGAGAAAAGGACTGAATTAGTCATTCTACTCATGTTACTTCGAAGTCTTCAGACTATTTCTTTGAAAAAACCAAAACAACCTTCTATTTCTAAAACTCCCCTTTTTCCAGTTACTGTACACTAACATAAAGGATGCAGCATGTGTTCAGAAACAATACAGAAAAAAAAGAGATTAAAAATACATGCTAGTGACACAGAAGTTTAGGAATCACGAACTATGTCACTGTGATTCCTCTGGAGGCAGGGATGGTTTACCAGCCTTACGAGTTTGCATAGATTTATTTTTATTGCCAACAGTACCACAATTTTCTGCCTTTAGGATACTCCTATGTTGTGCTAGTACAACTGTCCAGAAAAAAAAAACAACCCTGAGTTTAAAAAGTCATTCTCAGGTGGAGAGGATGACCCATTCTAGTTCACTGCCCAGCAATGCTACCAATAGATCAACACAGGGGACAAAACAAATTGAAGGGTAAAATGGGTGGCTACAGACAGCAGTTCCAAGTGCCATCATGTGCCTAATCATATTTTCTGCTGTGACAACTCAGTTCTGCTTAGTATCTTTTACATATTTGCCAATAACGTTAAAATCATCCACTTTTAAAACTGCAAAAGCTAATTTTGAAACCATTATTTATTTTGAGTCAGGTTATTCCATAAATCTGACTCAAAATGCAACCACATAATTTAAATCATCACAAATTTCTTGGACTGGTAATTTCTAAACCCTGTGACCGCTGTACCTGTAATATAACAATTTTGCACTCTAAGGCTTTATCCCACTACAATTTACAGACACATAGAAATATAGGTGAGAGGACACAGAAGATAAATTGGCATAATGACTTATTTGCCCATGAAATAACCCAACTATTTACATATTTAAAGTTCAATCACCCATGTCACAGAAGACTTTAAAACATAAAGTGCACATTTTATATGGTTTAAGTTTCCTAATGGAGGCCCCACCAAAAACAACAAATGAAATAACTACATGCAAATACAAACTATATTTTGAAGTTCTTTAACTGTCTCTACTCATAGCCCTCATATTTTCAACCAATTTACTACAGCATTAAGATCTTAATATTAGAAATAGCAGTTCTTACAAAATGAGCCCTCCTCTTCTCTGTTCTTAAACTCTTTGTTTTAGATTAGTTTCATTTCCTCATCAGCTCCACTCATCAACATAAAACCTGAGGAAGTCTACAAATAACATCCAGAGAGGACACAAAATCTCAAAGTTTATGTCTGCGATGCTGTTTTCAAGTAAATTAGTTTATTTGCATCAAATTTGTATGTATAGTTATGTAAGAATAAACAGGCTTTAATACATTTTAAGGTTTATGACCTGTTAGGACACAGCCAAGTAAACAACTAGAATTTTTAAATTCTGCATAGGAATGCGCCGATAGAGCCTAAAATAATGAAATCCACTTTAAAAATTAACTCCAATTGGTTTTTCAGAATGCTTTCGTGCAGACAACAGTATTCTATAGTACTTAAAAAAAAAATCAGTCCATCTAATCTCTTCATGAGAAACACACTTGGAATTCTAACCCAGAAAAATATTCAGTATGTGTGTTCTATCTTTTCAGTACGTTCATTTCCACAAATAAATTTACCACGTTTAACTGCTGTTTAAAAAATATTACAAGAGCACAGTATGTATTTCAGACTCCTCAAATGAAACTAAGGAAGAGTCTGAAGTCTTCCAATGCTCATAAAACCATACGTAAACATAGAAAGATACATGTGCGATGGCATGTAAATGGATTTATTATTGATTATACTGATGTAAATAAAACTAGATCAATACAAACTCCTGACAACTTAACTTTATAAAGCTGACATATTGTTGGTTTTAAAGTGTGCTCATTCAGCTATGTATTGCATTAACCTTCAGTTAAATGGAAGCATTTGAACTTAGAGAAGAATTCAGCAGTGACCGCAGTGAATTGTAGTTACTGTACCAGGTGTTCACACATTTTACAGGAATCACTGCAAGAACATACACATTGCAGGTCAAGGCAATCACAGTCAAACAGCTAAAATCCTTTTTCTCATTAGAAACATGGTTTGCTATTTCTTTGGAAGATGAAGCAATATATTTTTTCTAGCAAGCACACCTACAACACAAATTCTACCTATCACCAAAATCAATCATAAAACTGTGCAAGAACCACAGTTCCAGAATTTGATTTATTTTTCTTAGAATGGTACACTGTACATAGGACTTTATAGCAATGAACAATTATTTTTTTTGCCTGTAAGATATACAGCGATGATTCACAGAAAACTTATATTTTCCATTCCACCAGAAAAAGAAGGAAATGGAATAAAAGGGGTAATTTAGATATTTATGTCAGAGGATTTTGAAATTTAAGAATAAAAAAATATGCTGTGACAATCACACACCATACTTTTGAGAATTATTTTGAACATTAGACATATCATATTTTTCTGGATAAAACTAATGCCTGCTTCCACCTCTCACACAGAGTTCTTTACCTATAAGAATTTCAAATTCTGAAATTATCAAGAGAAAACATGGACAAAAATTGTGCAGTAAATTAGATTTGGAATACTAGATACAGAAACATATAACAATCAAGAGGCAAGTCAAAACATCAGTCTAAAATTAAAATGACTGAAGAAGGGTCAACACCCAACTGATTCTTTGTCAAGATGATACGAACATCAGAATAGGAAGGAGCTTGTACAAAAACTCTCTTTTCCCATAAGAACTCTTGCAGCATCTTTTCATGGGCGGTTACAGCTATGGAATAAAACAATTCTATCAGTTTGAACTTAATACTCAAACTCACTGTTTCCCAGTGCAAATTGCTAATTTACACTTCATTTTTCAATACAGACTAATTACAAAAGCTACTTTTAAGACCACCTTCTAAGAAGTTAAAGTAACGAGCAGCTTTTTAGAAGAATAAGGGAACTAAAAGAATGGTTTTCTGAGCAGGAGACATGTGAGACTGCCAACAAGACAAACAAGCCAAAGACAACATATGGACAAATAAAATCAAACGGTAAGTGCTAAGAGAAGCTAGAACCAATGTGACGTAGAACAAGAACACTAAGGGAGCCTGATGAGAAGCAAGAGATGTGCTCCAGTCGGACAAATACAGAAAAGCAGCAATAAAACTTCCAGCATTCACGTGTGCATGTGGAACAGAGCAGAAGTCTGTATTTTAACTTCCCATTCCCATTTAGTACCTTCCTGAAGGGCCAGCTCTGGTGACTGTGTAACAGATGGTGAAGATGATGGCTGTGAAGAGAGGCTTGGAGCAGGTGACCTTACTGACGAGACCACAGCAGAGGAAGCAGATGTTCCAACCCCAGGCTTGGTAAATGCAACATTCTGGCTCACTGAGTGCACGGGCTGTGAAGAATCAATGCCACCTGAAAACAACAGCAGAAAGCAGGAACCCTTTGTATGTACTTGCACAGACAATTACACAACACAAGCAATCATATTCGATTTCACAGTAACTACAAAAAACAGTACAGTACTTCAAAGAGAGATGCCTTCAAACAGTATATATGGACAGGTTGGTTGCTTTTAAAAATTAAATACCTGTAATGCTAAAACTCCGTTATAAGGAACAAACTGCTCTGTCAACTAACAGCAAAAAGGAAAGCATGATGTAGTAAGATCCAGACTAAGCAGAAGCTAATTTTTGATACATGCCCACAACTTTATGCTTTTACAAGTTACTCTTCCCAGTTAAGCAGAATGTAGTCTATCTGAAATAACTCCCCCTCAACATCCCTCCCACAGACAGGAAACCTCAAAGTCTGTTGTGCAGCAGACCAGTACTCTGCCTCCTTCATATTGCTGGCACTTTGCAACTTTGGTACTCAATTATGAGACCCAGATTCCAAGCAGTCTGTTTCAATCAACCCTGAGTACTCCACAGAACTTCTGATGTGTTTTAGATATCTGGACTAGAGACAATCTGCTTTAAAAAAAGACAGATTAATGCTTTGAGAGATTTGACACAGTTTGGTTGAAACTCCTATCAGGTAAGGACAACATAACTTCATTAAGTTATCTCTTAACTAAAGGTCGTTCTTTGCTTAGAAACTGAAAAAATTCATATTATGTGATTCTTTCCAGAAAAACTCTGACAGACCAAGCTGTTAAAAATAAGAACAGAAAGGAAATGGTTTGACCAATAATACTCAGTAAACAGACACAGAAATTAAGCAAGAACAAAATTCACCATGTACTCATTAAAGTTACAGAATTCACTAGAGGATGCAGAGGTAATATTAACTTTGCTTCCTCTGCACATAGAGTTGTGTAGTTCATCGAGTCCCTGACTTTTCCTTTAATAATGGAGGTGACATCTGGAAGAACTTTATGGGCAGGTTGAAGTTGTTGAGGTTTCCTTTAGAGGGTGAAGAAGTGGCTTAAAATGATCCTCCTGTTTTTCTTGTTTACAGTCAAAATTAACAGCAAACATTTTCACTATCTTAATGGAACTTTTATATATTTTGCAATTTTCAAATACAATGCTGAGCCCACATGCAGTCTTTTCACAAGTGTTATCAAAATCAAAATTATGTATTTTCCCAACATACATACAATTTTCTATGAAATGTATTTTTTAATCGAAATGTACTTGCTATAACCTCTGTTTCTACACATTGTCTTGCAGATTTTCAACGGCAGCAACACCTGTCAGGCAGAAATGTTCTTATTAGAGTGACTACATAGCTTTCTCAAGCGAGATATGCAATTAAAACAAGGGAATTTCTTTGCCACATTAACGTGCTTACCCAGGCTTTGTAGCAGAGAGTTTTCTGTAGGGTTACGGTATTTTCCATACTTCAAGTCAATAAAGCAGCGCTTGCAGCACTGCTGTAAACAATGCTAAATGCTACAATATCTGTGTCACACGTTCAAAGCCAAATAATAACTTCCTGCCAAATACTATTATCTATTCTCAAACAAAGGTTATCCAATATTCTTCAAAAGTACATGGATTTTTAAATGTATTGTAAAAAGAAGTTTTTAAACTCCAAGCAAAAAAATGTATTCTTTTCTCTGTACAAAAATCCAACTTGCAAAATTACATGTTAAACAGTATTTGAAGACTGAAGTTTTTGAAAGCCATAAGTAACCAAGGAAACACTCGGACAAAGTTAGTACTTAAAAATACATTGTTGGTAACTATCAGCACATGAAATAATCTATGGTTAGAGAAATTACGCTATCAATTTTTTTTCCTCTGGTCAGTAAGATGATTGCATGTAAGTCTATCATATATAAGTACTGATCAATTTAGGATGCCTTATTTTAGCTCAAGACAAAGCTACACTGAACACCAGTTTAGAGTACAAGTTTCCCATCAGCTTATCCAGGACAAACACAATCAGGCCATAAAACATTCCCATCAGCTGATACCACGAGAAGTCAAGGAGTTTTGTCAGGCTGTGATAAATATAAAATCCATTCTCAGTGACACAGTATTTTCTGTTTTTCACATTCAACTCCTCTCCCCTTCAGTGTGCACTTATGTTTTCCCCTTATGCCTCTCAACCATTAACATCTCTTGCACTAATAATGATCAAGTATAAATACCTACAGCTAAAAGCTATGTTACAGAAAGAATCTGCATAACTGGGCAAATTAGCAGTGCAATTCGTCATTTTTCCCTACACATCATCACAAAGTTGTTGTTTAATTTCTCACATGAGACCTACAGGTCATAGCTAAACAGCTTATCACCACAGTATCTTCTCAAATTTTCAGAAGAGATGCAAGTCATCCTTTTTGAGTTGCTCCAGCTGCAATCTTGATTTCCTGCACCCAACATAACATACAATTTCTAGTGAGAGATGTACCACCTTCCTGCAGCTTGTTTTTTAACAGCATTCTATTTCCCCGACTTTGCTCTGTACTGGCTGCAGTCCTTCCCCTTTTTTCAAGCACACCTGTATTAGCAGATTTACAGGATTATAGCCTGCATTCCTATGAAACTGGGGCAGCAAGGACTTTACATCCTGCTCTGACATAAGGGGAAGTATGCGCACGAGATAATGAAATTAAGAGCGTCTCCTGCTCAAGCAGACTGTCCGTGCCAGGATGCAAAGAAACCCATACCAGCCACCTGCAGGAGGAGTTCTCCATCTCCCTCTCCTCAGGGAGGAGTCCAGTAAAATTTAGGCATTCCGGCTGACATCCATGCTGACTTGGAAAGTACCAAGAATAAGCAAAGTGCACCGATTTTAGCTGAAATAAGCTGGAAAAACATTAAAGAAAGCTACCGACCTAGAAAGACAAAAGGCCTAAATAATACAAAGTATGTTATTTACATAGCATAACAACACTCCTGGACAGATTGTTACCAACACTGTTCTGCTGAAATACAGAATTTAAAGCTAAAGGAGGATGAATCTGCAGGATGAAACTAGTTTAAACCGCCAAGGAGGAGAAAAATCTCAAATTAGAGATATTTATATTCTACTTTATACTTCCTAAAGCAAAGAAAATTATCTTCACTGGCTATTATTCCTCAAAAGCAGTCAAATTCCAGGAAAAAAAATAATCTTAAAATAAATTTATTTTCTTCTAGTGAAATCTCTGCAAGTTTCACTGAAAATACTTCAGCTATTTCAGATAGGGGCTGTCAAAGTTTTAGAAAAAGATTTTGTTGCAGTTGTATGTCCTTAGTACGTGACACACAGCAGTTCAGGGGTTTGATCTTAGCAGATTCAGCATTTTGGGGACTTTGCAAGGCCATACATAAAACTGGATTATTAAAGCAACGAAATAAAGTCCAATGCTCACGACTTTTTTGATTCAGGTAAAATATAATTCAGCAATCAAACAACTTCTGAAAAACTCTTGCCAGCCTAAGTTTCCTAAGTAAGTCCTGTTTGAACACACAGATTTTATTAAAAACACATCATTCTTCTACATAAAGAAAGTTTCACTCTCCTCACAGATGAGAATGCTCACTGATTGCACAAAACTGCTACTGAAAAATAGCTTAAGACAGTAGTATTCTGACTGATAGTCCTCCTGTGATTTGTTTATTTATAATTCAAGGCTTATAAGGGTTCATCTTCCACAGCATAGAAGAAATGATGGCAAACTGTTTTATTGGCACCCTGATTAATAGTAGGATACTGTACCAAAATTTCTTTACAAAAACAGTCACAGGCAGCACATTTATGAATTTCAGTGTTAACTTTTCTTTTTTTCCAAGTAATTTTGCTAAAAACTGCACACAGAACAGACAGCAACTGTTTTCCGTCATTGTTTCCTTCCTGGAGAACAGCAGGGACGATGAAATACTCAGAAAAAAATTCCTTCTGACAAATCATTCATGATTTCTTTATGTTCCTTGTGTATTGTACTCGGACACTTTCCAAGGATGTACAAGAACTGGCAAGTAATTTTCAAGATCTAACTCCTTTTTTTTAAAGGCTGCAAACAATCAGAATACTATATATAAAATTACTCCACCCGAGAACAATAAGACTGCGCTGGGAAATATTTAAGTCAGATATCATGGGAGGCAGTTTGTTTAGCCACAGAAAAATGGTTTAAAACAGTTTCAAGCGTTTAAAATGTAGTAATAAACCTGCCCAGCTCTTCCTTCAGCCTAGCTATCAGTTGCTATCTTTACTTGTTCTTTCACAGTCAGTAAATACAGAATCATTTGTGTGCTGAGGTTGCACCAGGATTCAGAGGGAAGAGAAAAAAAATTATTTTCCAGATAAATCAGTTCCACAATCCAGTCCACTGTGCAAGCTTTTATGTCCACACAGGCATGCTTGCATCAGCAGCTTTACAAGCTCAGGAAGAGTCTGAGCATGGTTTAACTATTGATGCCCACGGTCTGGCAAACAAACCGAATACTGCAGTGTTATTGAAGTAAAACAAACAGTGGGTCAGTGTTTATTTTCATAACTGCAAAGTGTGTATCCATTACACACCACTAACACAGCCAATTTTATCATTAATTCTTTGAAATTCAAGTGTAATATTACTACATTTTCTTGAGGCCATGCACTAACTCAATCACCCAGTCAAAAGCAGCACTGAGTGGTTCAGAAATAAGACTATCTATTGTTCATATTTCTCTTCATGGTCTGATCAGCTCCACTGTTCCACCTTTAAAACAGTTGCTCCTCAAGAAAAATATTGCTATGAACAAACCACGGATTTCAAAACACCTCCAAAGGAAATAAAATTAATAAGCATTGAAATTAAAAAGTTCTGTAAATGAAACACTAACAGTTTGAACAAACAATAAGTTGTTTTCATATATCTACTGCAAATTGTACTATTCTGGAATTATATCTGCATTCTGTGAAGTCCAGCTGCAGATTCTGCATTCAAAGATTCAATTTTTTTGGCCAGAGTTTTAAATCTCCTGTCCTTGAAAGAATTCATTTTTATGCTCAATCATGAAATGCCACTAACTTCAGAAGCTTTTCAAGGAGTTCCCTATTTTTCTTTTTTAATCCGTATTTTGTTTCATGGTTTTAAAATATTGAAGAAAATCAGACAGAGCCCCTCGTCAAGACAGAATTCAAATCTACTAGTATTCAAAGTAATAAAACTGACCTAAGGATGACACTCTACATCTTAGTCTGGGGCAGGGGAAAGTAATATTGAAACCAAATTCCAGCTGTGGATTGAATGAGCTTGATTCAAGCTTAATTGCTTTCCCAGACAAAGCTTTACCATCATCAAGGCCATGTTCTTTCCTAAGTCCTTGGTCTTAGAAAACCTCAGCTACAAGAACTCCTAAAACAATTTCAGTGTTACACTATAACCTGAAATATGTAGCACAAAAAGGAAACATTCTACAGTTCTTTTAGTAGCAAGCCATAGTCTGGCACAGTATAGAAGTCAAAACTGCGTGAAGTCAGAAAATTCCCAGCGTAGAAAGAAAACAAGATTCTTCCTGCACGTGCTCTTGCTCTCTCAGCTGCAGACCAAGATGTTTCAACGTGGAGGCACTCCCACATCTCTGTTCTTTTCCATGCTTCCTACTAAGTACTACCTACCTCATGAACTTGTACTAAGTTTTCCTATAAACAGAAGCAAGGGTTGAATGTACTTGCCCTCAGCTGGCACCTTCACAACTTCATTCTCTATAGCATCTCTCTATTCATCCATACTAATACCATTAAGTTGTTGCTTAGAACACTCAGCTACAACTTCCTCGTTTAAATGCTTATCAAAAATATTAATTAAAAAAAACCCCAATTGCCTCCAAACCCATGTAGGGTTCCACTTTTTTCTGAACTTTGTGAAAAATGCATGTGTGTTCACTTGGGCAAAATTTAAAGGAACAACTTAAATAATGACTTAAAAAAATTATCTAGCCAGAAAAGAAAAAAAAGTATCTTTGTGATTAACTGACATATTTCAGAAATTATACATTCGTTCACAACTGCATGAAAAAACTCCCTTCCGAGGCCACTCACATGAAAAATACACCAATAAACTAAAAGCATCCTCTAAATAGTGTATCTATCTAAATTCTGTATCTCTCAATAGAAACATGTAGCTGCTATTGTGAGGACTGAGGTAACCAAATCAGAAAAGCTTCAAGAATGAATAAGGACAGAACTCAAAATTACAATACAGAATTTCACATAGTGAACAAGAACAAGCCAACAAAAGCACATGATTACTGATGTCTCCCAGACAAATCTGGAAGTTCACTATCCTTCAAATAATACAATACCTGTTTTGATTTGGTTGTTTACTTTTGCAACGGATCCAGGGAGATTCCTGCAGAGGTTGTCTTGAACAGACTGGGCAGATGAAATAGTTGATAAAGTTGTATTATATCCCGCAGGAACATGCTGTTGAAGTGAATGAGGTACAGATGTACTCTGGCTAGAAAAAGCATTTGTCTCTTTGAACTGTCCAACAGCAGGTAGACTCTGAGAGGTAAATGTCTGCCCATATGCACTGCCAGCAGCCGCAGGAGGATAGGAAACACTAGGATACATGGCACCAGAAACCACGGGCATGGCATAGTGATCAGAATTAAGGGGAAATCCCTGAGATGCAACTGAAGAGCTGACAGAAGTGCTGTAGTGATTATCAAATGCTGAATATGACTGCTGAGCACTCATATGTAAGTAAGATGCAGATGATATTGCTCCTTGAACAGGTCCGTCACTTGCCCCCCCTGTATGGGGAGGAGTTTTGTTGTACAACTGTTGCGATCCCTGTGCATTCAACACATTGCTACCCACAGAAGGTGTCATAACATTTTGTGCTGGTGCTGAATAGTAACCAGGGTAGTAACTGGCTCTATACTGATGATCCAGATGTGAAGCAGCAGCTTTATTGGGCACTTGGGAATAGTGTCCTGAAGGCGCACTGTAGTTTGGAGGATGTGAGCCATAGCCAGGGGGAAACTGCATCTGACTCTGCACAGGACCTGAAAGAAGAGAAAATGTCACATTCATTAAAGGTGCATCTGCTAGTAGTGCCAATGGACTCTGTACTTGAACTAACAAACAATTTGTTCTGTCACTATTTTTGAGATCAGTTCCTATCAGCAGCAAGAGAACAAACCAAGTATAACACATGAAGATACAATATTTGAAATAATTTGCAAACATACACAGAAGTAGCAGTAGAATGGATTGCTTCCATTAGCAAAGGAGGTTTCCACGCCAAGACTGTTTGCCTCCTGCTTGTACTTTTAATATTTTTAGGAGGTTAATACTTAAACAAATAGTGGGCAACAGTAAGCACCAAACTGATACTTCTAAGTGTCCGAATACAAGGGTATGCCTTAAAGAAACTGCCTGAATATGGAAAATGAAAAGCTGCAATCAAACCAGTATGTAAATATGTAACAATGGAGGTATTCTTCCTTACAAATCTTCAATATAGTGACCAAGACTAAGTGCTGCAGGGCAGTTATATTTGTCTTTTATGTTCTTACGTATTATGTTTTTGGGAAAACTGACTGTCATTTTTATGAAACTACAGAGTATTTGACAAAGCACGTCATTTCAGTTCACTGCCTGATACTTACATCAGGCATAAGAGATGTTGACATCAGAGAAACTGACCTCTGTTACCTCTACAACTAATTCTGCAACATTACAGGTTAATTACATACTGGTCCAGCAAGGGTCAAGTAAGTGCTTGTTTCCTAAAGACCAAATGTTAACTATGTCCAAGCTGATTTTCTCATGCCAAGTGATCAATGGTAAATCTGGAAGTTCTTCCTCATATTCTTTTCTTAATGCTATTTTTATTTTCTGGTGAACCACAAATGCATTTGTCTGGATAACTTACTTCCTGAAAATTACCAACCCTTATTGCTTACATCAAGCTGAATGACTACGGTGTTATTTCCCGCCCCTTGGTCAATAAAAACACAAACACAGCACTGGCCCACTCACAAATTAAACAGCAGTTGGGGTAATAATGAATAGTTGACTACCTCCTTATATTTACAATGATTACGAACCTTAAGCATTACTTCTCGTCTGAAAATTCTGAAAAATCGCTGTTGTCCAAGTAACACCCAGATGTCCTATGATTAACTTGCAAGGCAATTTTAATAATGAATTTGTTAACAGACCCCTATAAGCAAGGAACATACTGCCCAAAACTGCTTTCTGATAAAATTAAAAATGCCCTTTCATAATTGACAATGCAGGAAGTTGGGCAAAGAGAAAGGAACTAAAAAAATGCAGAACAGTAACTTGGACTGCTGGCTAAAAAAGACAGAGAGGCACTTGGGAGAAAGCATAAGGAGCTTAAAAAAAAAATTACATTCAGAGTTTTGAGGAGAGCATGTAGCTATGCTCCTGATTCACCTTTTTCTTGAAAAAGTGGGAGTTGCTCCACACAGCTCCTAGTTTTTTCTCCTTTAAAGGATAATGATTTTGAGCGAGCAGGTCATTAATGGCTACATGAACTTTGCCTGACTTTTGACCTGCATTTTAAACGTCTAAAAGAGCAAACTCAAAAATACACAACTTATGTCTGTTAAGGCTTGCTGCTCTAAGCTGCTATGACAATTAAGGCGGCAAGAGAAGGTATTTTATCTGAGGAGTCTGTGCATTTGTTCTACTAAAATATGCAGAATAAACTAACTGAGCGGGTATAATTTAGAAACTGGTTTAGAAGCACCTGACTTCTAATAAGAGGTTGCATGTCAAATCATCTACTGCAAAGTCTTCCAGTATCTAGCTCTCATTTAACAACACACACAATAAGTAGAGATTGAATTATCAATACAAGATATCAGTCTATGCATCTAGAATGCAGAGTCCTTTCTATTCACACTTTTAAGTGAAGAAATACCTATACATTTAAAAGCACACACGAGTATAAATCCCACAAAGACCTCACTAAGACAGGTGAGCCTAATATTTGAAAAATATTTCTGATTTCAAACGGCTGGTCCTTTGAAACAAGTTTTACAATTACCGATGATAGATTACTCCCTTTATTTGAAGTGAGTTTTTTGTCCATTTGATTATAAAGAATGTGAGCAGAAAGTAATTTTTGTACTGCAATTAGTAGCTGAAGCTACTAATGATGATTAGATAATTGGTCAGTTTTCAACACTGGAAATAGGGATGCATCTTCAGTATAATTCTGAAATCTGGTTAACTGCCCAATCCGTCATGACGTCTCAGGTAATCCACCTTCTTCCCTAAACACCTGACAAATATCTCAAAAAACTCCATGAAAGAAGCTGAAAAACTTAGTTGCATACAGAAGGTGTACTTCTAAAACATCATCTCTTTAACGAAAGCTGTGAACCTCTCCTGCTACAGACAAATGAATACTTTAAATAATCTTATAATGTATAATTACATTGACATTAACAGGCGAACCTCAAAAACCTTAATATTTTCTAAGGGAGGGGAGAGCCGCCATACAAAAACCCCCCAAACCCCCCAAAAAAAGCAGCAGTGCTATGGCTATACTGCTATGTGAATTAGTAAATCTTTGCTTGCTAGTGTCATGTCTGGTTTTTACATCCACACATTCCCTCAGCTGAATAATTTAGCCATCTGCCTCATACCCTACCTGCATGTAGTCTATGTGTCCTAGAGCACCAACTTCCTTTCTATCCAAGAACACATGCTGGCTTTCTGAAACTTTTAACATCCCTTTATCCACCTCCAGAGAAGGCTCCCATGGCTTCCTCACATGTCCTTTAGCGATGGAGAGGGGGCAGAACTGCTGCCCCTTGTCAACTGCCGGCAAACAAAGCACCAAATTCAGCCACTGCTGAGCTATCCCAACAGCTCAGTCACCAAATTGATGTCTACTCCTTCATTCACCCAGCTTCCCATTTCCACAAAATATTCAGGGATTTCCTATCTTTCACATCTCTATTCTCTTTATTAAATTTAATGAAACTATCCAAAAGATCCAAAGTCAAAGATTTCAGTACAGGATCAAACTGAGAATGTTGTAGGAGAGAAGGAAAAAATAATAAAGTACACACAAGAAGACAACTTTAAAAACCCAACAAGACATCTAAGTTATACTAAGCCTAAAGTCTCCGAGGATCTCAAATGGACTTGGTCATTGAACCAGGCGAAACTTACTAATAACAAAACATCCTTTTTAATACCACCATATGTACAACAGCTCACCTGCTTTCTGCGAAAAGCAGACCCTCTTTCATCAGACTGCAGTAAACACAAGGCTTTACATGAAAAATTCACATTTTATGAAATTAAACATTCAAACATCCAAGAGGATGCACTAGTATTTTCCTTCAGCCAATACAGAAATAGCTCACTTCAGTACTTTGCACTTAAACTCCATTACAATGATGTAAAATTAAATTTCAAAAGCAATGACAATCTTCTTTGTGAAATTTTGTTTCTATCAGACAGAATGGAAAATTCTACTACAGTCTTCTTCTGTTACTATTCCCCTCTACTGCCCGCCCTATTGTAATTAAAAAAAAAAAAAAAAAAAGCCTCAAATCTTGTGTTATAACTTCAGAAGATTAGTACTACAAGAAGACAGACACACCATGGAATGCTATTGCCAAATGACACAAAATGAAAAATTCAGTTATTGACTACAAGTCATCAAACACACACCACTAAGACATCTTAAAACCACAGAAGCCAAAGTTATACAATAAAAATTCAAGACTATTACTGAAGAATGTATAAATGTCTCAGAATTACAGAAAAAGTGTTTTGAAGTAAATAAATGTCTACTCTCTGGTTTTACACAAGCTGTTTCTAAAAATAATAGCAGCAACATGGGGTTAATTAATTAAAACAACAAACAGTAACGATGGCTCTTTAAAATTACTGTTTCATTAAGCTTAAAACCCAAAGAGAAGGTATGTCAGCTTCTATTTGCTTCTGTAAAACACACTTCCAGGTTATCGATGCTGTAGTAGCTGTATCCTGATAACAGTATGTTTTTTGATTAAAAGCCTCATAAATTGGCATTTTCTGAACCATTTTTACAAAACTCAGCATTACAATACCAGTTTGGACACAACCGGGCACTAGTATCTTAAAATCTACCGTTTAATTACCTTCCTTTTCATCCACTTCAGTGAACTCCCCAACACCTACTTTATAGGCATTTAAGTACTTATCACTTAGCTACCCTTTTGGAGACGAGAAAAATTCAGGAGTAAAAAATTCTGTAGGTCCTTACCCTGCACACTGATCTGTTCAGAAAAAACACCTGTGCAGAATACAGCCAAGCTACAAAATAAAGGATTTAACAGTATGAGCTAGATCTCTGTTGCAAACAAGAGGCCAAATTTAGATACCAAACCAACATTACATGGAGAAGATGATCATGCAGGGATTTTGAAGACTTAATGTGGTGTATTAATAAAGAACTGATCTTATAGTGCACCAATTTAAAAATGAGGAAGTGTATCCTCATTACTCTCATTCATAGCACAGCCAGTCTCACTACCTCTCCTTCTGAAATGCGAGTCAGTATTTTGTGACTTTAAACTATTTTGCCTTTGTTTTTCAGTGACCCACATTTCACTGGCCCAATGCTGTTCGCTCAACTCAAATTCCGGGATCCAGCTGTGTGAACGCCTACCCACCTACTACTTTTAAGTTCATAAACAGCTAGGAAGCGAGTACTCTCATCCAAAATAACGCGATTTTCTGCCCGTTCTCACGCTCTACAGCCAGCGCCGAGGCCTGGAGGTGCCTTGGCCTCCAGAGCATTCCTGAAACGCCACAAAGCAGGCGCCACGGCACAGGGCAGATCCAAACCCGCGAGGAGAGCGAAGCGCGGATCCCCTCTCCTGACTCCGTGTAGCGAGGCGGGGAGAGGCCGCGCCTTCCCGACTTCTCCCCGCACGCAGCCGCGGGCCCCGCAGGGGGACGCGCCTTTCCCGAGCGGCCCCGGCGAGTCTCGCTGCCTTTCATCCCAAGAGCTTCGTTACGGGCCGGATCCACCGGGTCCGGGCCCCTCCCGCCCCGCCGGGAGGAAGAAGGGGTGCGCAGCCCCCCGGCACCCCTAGGAGCCTCCCCCCGTGCGGGCGCAGCGCCGCTCTCCCCGGGGCCGCTCCCGCCCGCGCCGGCCCCTCACCGTTGTGGCAGTGGGCAGCGCCGCCCGCGGGGGCCGCGGCCTCCCGGGACCCGCCGGGCCCGACCGGGGAAAACGCGGCGGCGGCGGGCCGCGGCGGCAGCCCGGCGGGCGCGGACATGTCTCCTCGCGGCGCCTCTTCACTCCGTCCCGCTTCCCTTCCCCTTCCTCTTCCTCCTCCTCTTCCTGAGCCCCGATCCACCGCCGGGCGCCGAGCGAGGCTCCGGGAGCCGCGGGAGGGCCCGAGCGCCGCGCGAGCCGCTGCGGCCCGGAGCGCCGCCGCCCACAGCGCCCCCTGGCGGCGCCTCCGCGGCCCGCCCGGCCCGGCCGGGCCCGGCCCCGGGACGGGCTCCCCGCGCCCGCTCCTTGCGGGGACCCGCCTGAGCGGCGGCGAGAAACGGCGCGGCGGGGCCCGTCCCGCTTAGACTGCGGGTGGTGGGGCCGCACGCCCCATCAGCGACCCTGCGGGTGCGGGCGGACAGGCCAGGGGGAGGGTGTGGAGAGGGAGGTGATCCTGCCCCTCAGCTCAGCCCTGGTGAGGCAGAACCTGGAGTGCTGTGTCCAACTCTGGGCTCCTCAGTACGAGAGACATGGAGCTCCGGGAGCGGGTCCAGTGGAGAGCGATGAGGAAGAGTGGGGTACTGGAGCATCTCTCTTTCAAGGAAAGATGGAGGGAGTTGGGCCTGTTTAGCCTGAAGAGGAGACAACTGAGAAGGGACGTCATCAGTGTGGATAAATATAAAGGTGAGGTGCCACAGGGATGGAGCCAGGCTCTTCTTGGTGGTGCCAAGCAATGGGACACGAGGCAATGGGCAGAAACTATGCACACGAACTTCCACCTGAATGTGAGGAAGAATTTCATTACTGTGCAGGTGACTGTGAAACAGATTGCCCAGAGAGGTTGTGGAGTCTCCCTCACTGGAGATATTCAAGACCCTGAGCGCAATCCTGTACAATGTGCTCTAGGATGACCCTGCTTGAGCAGGGAGGTTGGACCAGGTGACCCCCTCTGGTCCCTTCCAAACTGACCCATTCTGTGAGGCTGCTCCATGTCCCTGACTCAGGGCACAGACATGTACATGTACAATACACACATCTCCCATCGTTTTGCCTAAGGGTTTTCTATCTGTATAGGTAATATATGCTATTTTAGGAATATATGTATCCTGGAACATATAGAGGTAACGTGTGCTCTGCACAGGGGAAATGGCCTTACAAGGTGAGGTGAAAACTCTCTGTAGTTATTCTATGTACAGACAGAAAAGCTTCAGTGAGATGGGGTGACCTGAGACAAGGCTTTTCTTTCTGCGTTAGGAGTGCATGCTGTGTATTCTCTCCCTCTCCACTGTGGGTACATGCTATATATCTGAGGAGAAGAAAGGCCTTTACAAGGAAGGGCAAGGCAAGATAAGGCAAGGCTTTTCAGTTTCTGTGCAGAATATATAGTAGATATTCTCTTAACAGGAAGGCAAGTGTTGGAGAGCCCTTGCCATGGTTTAACCCCAACCAGCAAGTAAGCACCACACAGCCACTCGCTCACTACCCCCCCCACCCCATCCCAGTGGGATGGGGGAGAGAATTGGAATAGTAAAAGTGAGAAAACTCATGGGTTGAGATAAAGACAGTTTAATAGTCAAAACAAAAGCTGCTCACACAAGCAAAGTAAAACAAGGAACTCCTTCACCACTCCCATGGGCAGGCAGGTGTTCAGCCATCCCCAGGAAAGCTTCTACTTGGGGAGGGGACAAAAGTCTCTCCCTTCCTTCTTCTCCCACCATCTCTATATGCTGAGCATGACTCCATAAGGTATGGAATATCCCTTGGGTGACTTGGGGTCAGCTGTCCCAGCTGTGTCCCCTCCTAACTTCTTGTGCACCCCCAGCCCCCTCGCTGGTGGGGTGGTATGAGATACTGTATAAGCACTGATCAGCAATAATGAAAACATCCCTGTATTATCAACACTTTTTCTAACAAAAATACAAAACATAGCCCATACCAGCTACTGTGAAGAAAATTAACTCTATTCCCAATCAAAACCAGTACATCCTCCCTTGCTGGCTACTGTTGACAAAAGATCTCACTTCAATTTAACACTTTCCATAGCCAATCACACACTAAACCATATTAATTTTGACTGCGTGTGTGTTTCTGTCACCTATACTCACTTGTCATTCACTCAGACGCTATTCAAGATTGAATTAATTGCTCAGGTTATTTTATTAATTATGCACAGAAGTCGAAATCAGGATAATATACTGGCGATCATATTGTCAACACTAAGTCCCACAACACTGCGTCACCTTTGTTACATAAATTTGATCAGTCCCTTCCCTGTTTGGATGCTGTTCTTCCTACTAGTTATTATACACGTCTGCCCTTAAATGCTGTAATATTTTTTTAATTACTTTGCGTATATGCTCAGCATATGGTCCAGCTCTGACTGTTACTGTTATTACAAAGCATGCAGGGCATCTTTTGGTACTGCAGGAACTGACTGTATTTCAAAGTTTCTCAGCCTATCAAACTATGTAGATTTGTCTTGTGCAGGCCTCCATCAGTCCTTTGACGGATTGTAGATCCATATCTGAAAGACACAGTTTCTTCTTTATGACCTAATAAGGTAGGGCAAGAAATTATAGGTTCAAAATGCAGCAACGTTCAGGTGAGCTATTAAAAAGTAAGCATTATCTTAAGATACTAAAGGACTAAGTGACATGGGAACAGTGTGACATTGCCATAATTGAAGGAGTCTTAACAGGGGTTGCACAAACATTTTGAGAGTCAGACTGTCAACCAGCTTTGGTGCAAGTGACCTCTTGAAATCCCTTCCAGGGGTATATTGTGCTGACAAATTCTGCTCTTAAAGTTGTTCTTCCTTCTTTGTAACCCATGCTTCTCCATCCCACACAAAATACTTGTGAGAAATGAATGCATGACACCAAAATAATTCAGAAATATGGACAACAAGTTGGTTTGTCTTTTCATTTTCAGTGCTGTTTTATAAGATGTGTAACTGCTTCTTTGTACTGCAACTATATGTCTTCACAGCATGCAACACATGTGAATCTGTGTTTTGACAAAGGTTTTCCCTTTCCAAAGTCTCGTTTCTCTAATTCTTTTTACTGTGAGACTATAAATGTATCCTATATCACAATCTGTGAAAATTACACATCAATTTATGATCAAGCACAAGGAGTTATAGATCATTGTGCTAAAAGCAAGAGGAGGCAACTGGGAATTTTCCCATTGTTTTGAATGCTTTTACAAAACCTTTTACACAACTTAATCAATTATTTTCCATAAACAACAACGACACTGTGGTTAAACCCATTAATTCCTAGGAAATCCAGATGTGTTGGCAGTTAGAACACAAGCCCCTAATGGAAATCCACTGTAAACTCAAACCCATTAATTTTGTTTTCCTCATTTATAATGAATTTGAAAGCATTAGTAAGAAACGAGTATTAATGTCTGCTGTTAATGCTACCATGCAACAAATAACAGGAGCTGTCTCACCTAGGCCATTGCTTCCACTTAGTCTAGTAACAAGCTTATTAAGGAGTAATAAATTCTTTGGCCACTTGATGAGGCTTAATTACTAATAGATTTATTTTGACCTCTGGTGGAAGAAACAATGACACAAAAAAAAGCCCCTCTGCCATTTGAGTGTGCAGAACAAAATATGAAAATGCATCTTGTTACCCATAATATGATAAAAAAAGGCATTAAATGTCCAAACCTAGAAGGAAAAAGTTATTTTTGCAAGGATAGAAGTCTGAGAACAAATCATTATAAACTGAGTAAGAAATAATTTTGAGCTTTAACATAACTAAGCCAAGCTTCTTCCACTTTGTCATACATTTCAGAAGGAGAATGACAAAATTAGGTGCTTTTATAATCTCCATCAACAAAATACAGCTGTGAGTCACCCTAGCTCAGTAATAAATTTCTAATCATTGTCCTGCATTTCTATCAGGAACTGAGCCATTTTGGTGCAAAATAATGGGGCTTCATGTTTTCACAATCAGAATTCTCCAATTGTGTTGACATAATTGTATTTGCGTAAGCTGCCTGTAGTCACTGCGGTGTGATTGCTTTCCAGAACAAGAAGGGCAAATCAAGACTCTTGATGTCACTATAAAGTGTGCCTCTTCTTGGGTGACCTCTGCATCTGGCTGCAGGATAAATCCCTGCATCCACTGGGTGAGATCTATGTTGTACTTCATTTGCAGCTGGCTAATTGGTAGAAGAGGCCCCAGGGTAGTCATGCTCCACTTTAAATAAAAATCTTTCAAACTTCTAATACATAACAGAGAATGAGATATCAGTTATGATACCATGCAGCTTTCTCACACAAGTATAGATTTACTTTCCATGTAGTTTATTTATTATCCAGGTAACTCCAGAGAAGTTTTGTGTCTCAGCGATGAGCAGGACTTCCTTTTGTCCATCTGAAGCACCTGGCATGTATTCCGGCTGGGTACAAAAGACTGAGCTGTACTTATTTTTTGTGTTTTGGGGTGTTCGTTTTGTTTTGGTTTTGGTTTTTTTGTGGTTTTGTCTTGTTTTGGGTTTGTTGTTGTTTTTGGGGGTTTGGGGGGTTTGTTTGCTTGGTTGGCTGCTTTTGTTTGTTTTTGTGGGGTGGTTTGGTTTTGTTTGTTTGTTTGGTTGGTTGGTTTTTTTGTTTGTTTGGGTTTTTGTTTGGGTTTTTTTGGGGGGGGTGGTATTTATACCTGTAATGGAAAAGGCTCAGAAAGCAGCAGGACCTACCTGGCTGGGAATTCTTTGGACAAAGGCAATGAGCTCTACTACCTGCTACAGCTGATAGTTGCTGGATATAGCTAATCATTATGGCCCCTGTGTCTGAAAGTCAGAGTAGCTGTTCCATTCTGTAACCCCTAATGATGGGTATCATCTCTCTTCACAGTCTAGTCTATAATTTCTGTGATACCTCTTCAAATACGGATATATGACTAAAATTCTCACTTAAATTGGCAGTCCTGATTGGCAATTATGCCTGGTAAGCCTCTTGAGTATACAGTGTAGATAAACATATATCTATATCTAGACTTGTAATATTCCTGAGCGGTTTCATCAGCTGCAAACTTCAATCTATGACAACAGTACTCAGAAATCACCAAGCAAGCTCTGACTAGGGAAGAAC